TTTTATGTGTGCTTGTTTGTGTCTTGCTTCTACTGTGCCGAATGAAGGGGTAGAATTCCAACATACATCAACATAGATAATCATAGGTGACACACTGACACATGTCAAAGCCTGAGTGGAGCTTCCATGCAGCATTTTTCTTGGACATTGGAACTCTTACCTCTCTAATTAAGCTTATAAATTGAGGCTCAAGGGTGAAGAAAAACAAGAAAACGACTCTAACAGAATATCAAAAATCTGCCAAACTTTACATTCTTTCAACATTCCAAGCTTTGAAGGGGAAGAACAACAAGCACATCAAAATTGTGCCGTTTTTCACTTAAGTTCCAACCTGATTCAAGGTCAAGCTTGAGCAGTCCTTGGATCCAGGCCACAAAGGAGAGCAGTCCTTGGATTCAGACCACAGAGGAGATTGAATCAACGGAATCTTATCAACAAAGCCCTTAAGTAGGGCCACAGTTAGAATGGACCTTTGAGAGTCTCATTTCCTGCTCTCTACGGTTGCCGAAGTCAGATAAAAGCCAAAGACTGTAGGCCCCCGTGGCCACATAGAACCAGGAATTTTACTTGGTGATAGAGGAGACATTCTTTCTCTAAAGAATATTCACAGAGGAAAATACTCATCTGTTTTGCAAAATAAATAAAATTGATAATTTGTCCACTTTTCTTTTCCTTAATTTTCAAACTTGAAATTCGTGTGACAAATTCATTGCACACAGAAATTTCAAGTCTGAAAATTAAGGAACAAAAAAGTGGACAAAACATCATTTTTATTCACTTCACGAAAATTGGGTACAATCTTCTGTAAATATCCTTTACAAAAAGAATGTCTCCTCTAATTCAATATCCTTTATTGGTTCGTGTTCAAGGGTCATTAGAGTTTGATCTTGAATCAAGTTGTTGTGAAGGAAGACCTGAAAAGCCTTCAAATCGAGCGCTAAAGAAGCTTGATCTCAAATAGTTTTGTCTAACAAATCTTCAGACTTACTGAATGGTTGAGGAAGAACGGCATTGTTTCAATATCTTTAGAGCTTGTTTCAATATCTTTAGTGCTTGAGTGTTGAGAGAGTGAAGAATCTGGCAGAACTTCAATATTCTCTGTGAGTCTTGTTGTTAGTTCTTCATTCTTAAGCCTCTATTTATAGGCTTAATGAGGAGGTAGACTCCCAGTGTTCTAGGAACACTGCTGCGTGGAAGCTCCTATAAGACTTTGACATCTGTTACTTGCTAGGAAGCACAGACATGCCTAAAAGGGCAAAGAATCCGTGTCGAATACGGACACGCGCCTGAGATGCCCTAACACGTGTCAGACATGTCAAAAAATGTGTATGTTTTTTTTTTTTTTTTTTTTTAATATTCGGACACGCCGTGGACACAGTTTAGACACGCCATAGATATTCGGACACGGCATGGACACGCCCAAGGGCGGCGCCAGGATTCTATGGTTAGGGGGCCGAACTTACAATTAATATAAGACTATTTTAAGCCATATATATATATATATATATTCAAGGGTGGATCCAAAATTGCATAATGGGGTGGGCTAATCTATTATGGGGTGAGCTAGTACTACTAAAACCTTTTTTTTTTTAGAGAGGGGTTGGGGGGGGGGGGGGGGGGGGGGGGTGTGGAATTTATCAATTATAGTCATACAAAAATTTATCAAACCAATCGTCAGCCAATTTGTGTAAAAAAAAAAAAAAAAAAATAATGGCCTATATCTAGTCAAAAATGATATAAATATGTACAAAAATTAACCAAAAAGACCAAATAACTACTACAAAAGACCAAATAATTATCTTTGAGACAATAAAATTCATATACTATTGATTGGTAGCTTGAACATCGTATAACCAATTAACCTGAAATTAATCAATCAATTAGTTATTTAAAGAAACTTTTTTTTATTTTATCAAATTTCCATAACAAACACAAAAAACAGACAGTAAGACAATTAAGCCAAAATTTAAAAAAACTTTCAACCCTAAAGTAAAGTGAATATATTATCTATTATTGCAATTGGGATTAGTTTAATATAATATTGAAAGGTTTAAGGGAAAAAAAAAAGTATAAGAAAGTCGTGTATTTTTTAAAAAAAAAGTATAAGAAAGTCGTGTATTTTTAATAGAAAGTTACAAACAATTTATAGTTAGAAAATATTCTGGGGGCCAAGTATGCATTTATCTATACTATTTTTCATTTTAGGTTGTACTAATAAAAGTTAATAAAAATTTTGGGGAGGGCCATAGCCCCTGCTGGCCTCCCCCTGCCTCTGCCCCTGAACACACCATGATTATTATTTTTATTTTTTGATAAGTAAGGCACTTGGGGATTTTAAGAAAGTTTTAGAAAGAAACCTAGGTTGAAGTGTAACTATGAGGAGTTGTTTAGTAGTTTTCAATAATATGATGGTCATTATATAATTACTTAAAAAAAAGTTGTTTCATAAAACAATTTGATATTAAATAATTAGATATTTATGCTTATATTTAGTTCAAAGGTTCAAACTCTTGCATATTTATACTTCTTTGTTTTCTCGTCTTTCTTAACCCTCTTTCTATCATTCTCTCTTTTCCCCGGCAAAGCACAATTTTTTTTTCATTATTAGGTTGATAAAAATAATATTATCTTAATTTATTAAAGTACAACATCATATGTATAAGGGTAAATTACACAACCTCCCCTATGATTTTTTCATAATTACACGGACCTCCCCTATGGTTTGGGAATTTACTCAGACCTCCCCTAAAAATGAAAATTTCTTACACGAACCTCCCTTTTGTTAGAGTCCTCCCTTCTGTTAGAGTCAACATCAATCAACGACGGATTATGCTGATGTCAAGTACAAATTTTAGTAAAATCCCCAAAATACCCTTGTCACTACCATCTATCTCACTTTCTCTATCTATAATATATTCGTCTACTACCCACCATCACCACCACCCCCAACCACAAAGATAATGTTTCCACCTTCAAGTATGCATATACGCATATACACATCACCAATATCTCTTTCATTTTAAACATACAAGAGCCTGGGAACTGATCGTTCCATACTAGAGAAATCAACTGACGATGTGAATGCTTCGGCGAATACGAGGCAACAAAGACACTGACGAGACTAATTCGACTGATTGGGATTGCGACTGGTGTTCTGTGTTCAGGATTTGATGGGTTCTAGTGATTGGGATTGGGTTTGGGGTTTGAGTAATTGGGATTGGGATTCAGGTTTTGGGGTTTGAGTAATTGGTGTTCTGTGTTTGGGATTCTTTGATTGGTGTTCTGTGTTTGGGATCCAATTCAAAGAAGAGGAAGGGCAGAGAATTGACGTCGATGTATATATCATTCTATGGTTGTGGTTGAAGGGTGGTGGTGGTGCTCAGTGGCGATTGTGATAGGAGGTGGAGGAGAGAGAAAAAGAACACGAGAGGAAAAAAAAAAAAAAAAAAAGGAATAGTAGGGAAAAAACAAATCGGTGAGTCCTCGAATATGATTCCGCCGAGAAATTGTGACGGAAAGCCGTCAAAGATTGGCAGATCGCCAAATTTAGAAGTTTCCTTAGGCGATTTCGAGTTTAGGCTCGAAGATCTGGTCACTATGCTCCTCGCCGATAAGCTATTCTCCGATGGGAAGCTCGTGCCTCTGCAGCTCTCCGCGATGTGTCCTACAATGATGCCAGTGAGCTCGTCGGAGATCAAATTGCTAGAGATTGTGAAATCTCGATGGAGAATAGACATCTCAGTACCAGATCCATACTCGTTTTCTCCCAAGGCACCGATGTTGGTGGTCTACAGTTGGAGGTCAATCGTTGTTGTAATCGTGAGAGGTATGATGGTGGTTATGGTGGTGGTGGTGGTGGTCGGCCGGAGGAAAAGGTAGGTTGGTGGGGTGGGTGGTGGTTTGTTGTGTATATATATATATATATATATTTTAATAGTATATGGATATTTCAGTCATTTAACATACTAACTTGAGGGCATTTCAGTAAATAAAACTGGTATGTTAGTCTATTTAATGGTCCTTCACTAAGAGGGAAGGTTCGTGTAGGATAGTTTCATTTCTAGGGGAGGTCCGGGTAAATTTCCAAACCACAAGGGAGGTCCCTGTAATTATAGCAAACCATAGGAGAAGTCCGTGTAATTTACCCTATATATACATATATTTATTTATTATTCACCGTGTTCCCGCCGTGTCTATGTCCTAATTTTTTAGGATTTTCCGTGTCGCCGTGTTCGTGTCGTATTCGTGTCCCGTATCTATGTCCATGCTTCTTAGGTTACTTGTGATTATTCATGCTGATACATGCCAATTGTGATATCTATGTTGATAACTTGATATATACCACTTATGATAATTATCCGAAGTGATATGTATAACTTCTGATACTTGTCTGTTAGGAAGATCCATTTAGATGACCTATTTTTTAAATGGATCTAAGCTTGTTGGATATTTTGGCTCAACCCACCGACTCATATTTTATAGTGGATCAAGGCATTATTGTTGAGACCAAAATTGACTTTGAATTCTTGACTAACAAATCAAAGATGAATTTTGACCCTTTGACTCATTGAACGGTGATTAAAACACCACCAAAATTTTGATGTCTACAAATACCAATTTCTAGTCCAAGGAATTTTGGGGCTCGAAGGTTCTTTTGCAGGACCAGGAAGCTGTGCATCGCACTTCCTAACTCCCTTCAGCTAGACTATAGGACCACTCATGTCAACACTTTAAGCTACTCCAGCTACAAAAGGAAAGCTTTAGAAAATAACTTAGAAAACATAAAATGATGAGTAATTAAGCTCTTGACAATATACATAGTCATTTAGGCTTCTCAGTTCTTCTGAGAGAAGTTCGGGTATGAGCATGACTTATGGAACACACATAGCAGGGAAATCCAGTCAGACGTGAGGATATGAAAAGAGCACTAATAATAATCCATTGCATGTGAGATTTACTTAATTTAGCAGCCAGAAAGATCTGTTATATTGTAATCTTACCTGTATAAAGGAAACTTCCGACCTCCTCGTACTATAAAATCCTGAATAAAATATTAAGTTAGAAATCATTTCAAACAAAGCAGTATATATGCAACATGAAAATTATTATTATTAATATTAATTTTTATTTTTATTTATTTATTTATTTTTTTGGGGGGGGGGGGGGGGGAAGTTAGTTTATTTTATCTGCTATATTCATGAAGGGAAAAAAAAATACTAAAATTTCAGATAATACATGATAAAAAATCAGTTTTAGTTAATGATTACTGCATATATAATTTACTAGGGGTGTGTATTAAGGGAAAGTTTTAGAATTTATCCGGACATCTTGTGGAAATGGATCCTTCCCATGTTGATTATGGTGGTCATATGAATCCAGCAAATGGTGGTCATATGAATCCAGCAAATAGAGACACACCAGTTTCCTGAAAATGCAGGATACACTTTGAACCTCTTGGTTTCCACAGAAGTGCAAAACAATAAATCAAATTAGAATTGTCATCTAATTTTAAAAACAAAAGAAAAAAAAAAAGAATTATAAATTTTGGGAACAAAAACTTTAGGGTGTCGATGTCGGGAACTCAGTTTTGTTGACGTTATTTGCTGATGACGTGGGGTTCCCTCCAAATTGTAAAGGGCCAAGTACAAGAAAAAATTCCACGTAGGGTGTAATTTAAGTTTAATTAGAAAAAGCGAGTAGAAGAGGAGTAAAAAGCATCTGTAACATAATATAACACAGCAAGAGGAGAATTTGACCCAGAAAAAATGAAAGAAAAGAAACAAAACAACAATCCAAATAAAAAGAACAAAACCAATAGGCTCTTTGAAAAACTACACCTGGTGCACAAAGAGCACATTATGAAACCAGGGAGTGGATGTATAAAATTTACTTTTAGGATAAAATTATGGAAATTAATGCCAAAGCTTGGGTTAGAATCTGCGAGCAGTAATTTCCAGGCAAGACCAGCATCAAATTTGACTAAACGATTCATGAATTTTCCGATTGTTGATTATAGAATCTTTTTCTTTTTTAGTTTCACTCGATTCATCTACTTCTCTCAATCTTTCCCACTAATAGATAAGTTTAGCCACTTCCCCTACTCCAACCTTGGAAAAGAAAGGTCTCCTTTCCACAAACTTTGTCATGTTCTCCGGAGAGGACAAGCCGGATTGATAGTATTCATGCACCCGAATAGGCTTAAAAGTTGGAAATTTTACTTTCTAATAGACACTCTAGTATGTCAAGTAAGCAAATAGCAAGAGATCAAACACAGAGAAAAAGACAGAGTGCATAATGGCCATTTTTTAAATTACCGAAAATACTTTATTTTTACTTTCATTATCAAATTACTCCTGCACAGGTCTTATCCCTAACCCAGTAACCTTTCCATGAAATGTATGTATAAAGGATCTACTCATCCGAAAAAACAATTCTATGTATATCCCTAAGCTAGTAAACTTTTCATGAAATGTATGTAAAATGTTTTTACTTATCCAAAATAATAATAAAAAAATAAAATAAGAAGTTTGATTGCTCAAACACATAAACGAACGCCAGCCACATTCTTTTAATTGGATAAGGTTAACTTGTTTCCTTCATTTTTGTCCTTAATTTGCTTCATAGCTTGCAAAAAAAACCAAAAAGATTGTGCTTCAAAACTAGTTTGAGTATGCTCTGACAATTGTAATATGAAGAAAGTAGTAAGACTAATAGTGATGAATATAGAATGTTTTACCATACCTAAGATTTTCTTTTGTTTTATGATGAGGATTTTACTTTGCTATAGCTAAAATCTTGTTTCAATATAAAAAAGAGAAAGAGGATGCTTCAACATAAGTTCATACCAATAGTTATTATATATATATAAATATAAACAACCAAATATACTATAAAAACCAGGGAAATATCATATACCCAAATGTATAGCATTTTGAGTGTCTAAATTCCAGAAAAAGAGTCCATTGACAATAAATCTACTTCCGATTTAACAATATTGAAAGAAAGCAGACCTTCAAGTTTTTTCCTTACATTGAACTATCTCAAGCCAACTCTGGGGCTTAACAGAATGCACAAACAATTTACAAATAGGATGTACTTATCCATCTAGAAACAACTGCTACTATGAAATATATTAAATTAGTAAGCATAGCTTCAGCAGATACAAGGAAAGGCGAGAGAAAAAATATGAATAATAGTAATTAAGAATGTGGGACAAAGTTGGTGCTTTCCTCAGCAATTCTACATTTTTTATGTAAGGAAGATTTACAGAAGTAAAATCACCTGAGTAAAGACAGCCTTTGCTTTTGAAACACGCAAACGAGTTGCAATTTCTTTTGCTGCAAAACTATCAGCTATTGACACAACAACAAATCCTGCTAGTATGATTGCCAAATATATAATGACTGCAGTGACTGTCATTGGCATGTCAATTGCAATTGCATCACCCTTTGTGAACATTGTATCCAGTGCATTTGCCACCAACCTGTGTGATAGTAGTAAATCCATCAATAGAAGGGGAAAAACAAAGGGACAAAAATAGAGTCCAAGTATAGATGTCTTATTTTGAAATTGAGGAATTGTAAAAAATATGGAACAACTAAATTGCAAGGTGAATGGATGTCCACTAGACAATAGAGTTTTTTTTCACCACAAGAATATGTGTTCTTTTCTGTATGTCTAAATGTCATGTGTTTTCTCTAAATGTGAAACACTGCTGAGATGAGAAATTAGAAAGATGGATGTTTCCAGGTTCCAATCAACTCTGGGTATAAAAACTAAAGGAACCCGTGTCTTTCAGGAAAATTTTAAATTCTCAATAGGTGAAGACTTAATGAGCTCTTATAAAATACATTTGTGGGGTGGATATAGAGAACACAATAGCAGATGAAAATCAATACTACATGCAGCAAATCAAAGCATCACTAAATGTTTCTCCATTTTTGTATATGAATTGAAAAAAGAAAATGTTTTAAAATGTGTTAACCTCTTCAGCCATCGTCATTGATCATCTAAATATCATGAAACAACTAAAATGATCATAATGAAGATAGAGTCACTAAATTAAGTGCATACATTACTTGTTCTCGGAGCTCTTTTACTGTCATATGATTAACATGAGAATCATCACAACCTTCTGCCCTCCACACAACGGCTAAACTATCATCCTGCTTTTTTGAATTATTGGCCGATAACAAACAACACTCGGCAATATTCAAAACTGAACCAGGAAGCCATGTTCCCCCATGTTTTGATGTGACAGAGGTATCCAAGATGCAATTAGGGACTTCACGGAATAGAACTGAGAGTTCTTTCAAAACAATGGACCAGTAAACCTGAAATTATCTTGCCACAATTAATTGAAACAAAAATGGAATCCTGTTATACCAGAAAAGGTATAATGCAATTTGTTTATTCACTTTGAAAAGTATGTAGATGAACGAGGTATTGCCTCAGGATGCTGAACAGAGAACTCCTGAAATAGATCAAAACTTGTTACGGGATCCTTATATGATGTCCCTAAAAGCTTTGAACCATGAGTTTCCATCAGACGGCCCAAATTCGTGTATTTAGACTGATATCTGACCAAAAAATTAAAACGTGGATCAGTTAGATGCAGAGATACAAGCTAGGAAAAACATTCTTTGAATAAGCATGCTGAGGTGAAACATGTGACCTTAGAGTTCTACCACAAGACAGCCAAATGACACCATTCAACCCAACACCCAGGTGATTCTTCTATGAAAAAAGTGCATAATTTTTTGAAACTAGGAGGGATAAAAATGAAACTGTGAATTGTTCATATCTAAAACATGGAATTGGATCTAATTCAATTTTGATGTAATAATCCTTCTAGACCATCAAACATAAGTCATGTTAGATGAAATTAGCAGGTCATGTACACCTGCATTTCAATACTTATCAAGGGGGTGCAAAAAAATAACAAGTTCCCACAACAATTTTGAAACTTGTCTCGGGATAACAAAATATAATTTGACATTTCTTCGACACTCTTTATTAATGGATAAATCTTGAGGTGTAGAAGGAAATCAGATACATGCTTTCTTGGAGATGGTCCTGATGGAGTTTGATACATCAATTGGACTATGTTTTTAATCAAACCCCATAATCAAATGAAAATTGCAGTTGACAAATTCAAGTGCCTCCAACAAGTAAGATGTTCACAGTTTCACCTATTTATAACTTCTACTTGTGCAATCTATTTTCCATGACTAAACATGTCCAATTCATAAACCAAGTGAAAAAAAAAGTTCACACATTGCAGGTATATAACAACAGAACTCAAGTACAATATGAACAGTTTTGGGGGAGAAAGAATGAGAAAAATTGAAGACAGGTAGTTAAATAGTAACAAATTTCAAGTTATTGCTGAGAAATAAAGAACTTAAGTAGTGTATTTGGGAACTTTGGCTCAGCAATGAATCCAGGAAGTGCAGAAAAAACATATTCAAGCCCACATCAACAGGGCCTGCTGAGGCCAGTGGTCTTTTGCTCTCGCTTGAAAAGTGAATGCACACCATCATCAAAATAGTCATTACAGGACAAAAGGAGCCCATCGTTGAATTGCAATTTTTTTCTGTGAATCAAGTTGTTATTCTATGATACATTGATTGCTGAAGTTAAATCCTTTGTTTGCTTGATTTGTTACTCGGAAAACAGTTCTCAAAAACTTCGAAAACATAATTTTTTTAAACTGAGTTTCAGAAAACTGTTCTCAAAGGTTAACCAAACAAATTTTTGTACCATTTTCTATTAGTCTATAGTTGTCTACATTGCTACACAGACTACAAAGGGTTGAAGTGGTGGCCCCAAACACTCTTTTCTCTGTGTCATTGTGGCAATGTCAGCAAATGTACAATTGCTCAATAGGAAAGTGTTCTTAGAAAAACTCAAGCAAGCAGGCCCAATTAACTTCCAAAACCATATAATGTACAATCCTAATTCTATTACCTTGCTATTCTTCTTGTAAATTTTACTACAAAAAAATATATATACAACCCAATTATTGTACTTAATTAGATCAATATTTATGCAGTTATTAGTCTAAAATAAGCCAAATGCAATTGTGTATATTCACTTTTATTTCAGGAAAAAAAAAAAAAAAAAAAAAAAACTAGCATAAACAGAATCTAAGTGAATAAAATATACGGTATAAAAGTGTTTTTTATTATTGCTATATACTTGTGAATTTGATATTAAAAGGATATGTGAAAGTGACGTACAGTGAAGGGAACCAATAGGGAGGAGGGTCGTCTGAGGACGCATCGTAATTAGCGTAGACGCCGTAGTAGACGAGTTGGTGCACGGCATGTGGGTGCGACGGTGTGAGCAAGCGTCGAGCCGTAAGCTCGCGCCATAGCTCCTTGGGGTCCGACAAAGCACCACCACCACCCGTTCGATGAATCGCGTCTTTGAGGCCTTTCTCCAACAATTTGGCTTCAAATACAGATAAACCAGCTTCCACCAGCTCTTCTACTCCCACTTCCCATATACTCTTCCCCATCTCTCTCTAAACCCCTTCTCTCTCTTTCTACATGGGGCTCTATACATGTCTATATATGTGCGTGTGTGTGCATGTATATGTCGTCTATGACTACATTGACAAGGCATTGGCATTTGGGGGTAGTTGAATCACATGGTGGACAACCAGCAACGTGCATTTCATTTTCATCTAATGGTATTTCATTTAATATGGGGTTAGCAAAAAATAAAATTTTTGTGGGCATTACTCATTTGAGCCCACCGATGTGACCTCTAATTATAAAATTAGGAAAATAATAAATAAAAAATTAAATCGGAGTTGACGTGGTTCTCATTTTTTTTTTTGCTGATAAATTTTTTGAGTAAATTACACTAAGCTCTCTTAAAATTTCGTCAACATACAAAGACATTTCTTTTTGTTTGTCAAATTATATAGACCTTTCCTGTCAAAAATTTAGATTAAATGATGTTAATTATTATTGTGTAATTACATTTATGTCCTTATTATATATATTTTATTTTACTTCAAAATTTCAAAGACCAAATTGTCCATATATTTATTATTACTTTTCAAGTCGAAGAAAAAATAAAAAATATATTACTCTTGACTTCTTCTCTTTTCACCACCATCTCTTCGTACCTGTTAGGGGATGCTTTAAGGATTTTGGTAGCCAAAACCAAAACCATCACAAGTATTAACTACCGTCTTGCTCATCCAACAATGGGAAAAATTGTAACCTCAAAATGCCACAAATTAAACCTCTTTTTCTTTAAATCTTTTTTTTTTTTCTTTTTTGGTTCCCCCTACAGATTTAGAAGGAATTGGATTTAACAACTTTTGATTAATAGAATATGCTTAATTTCTCTTATTATATTTGAAATCCAAAACCACAATGACCCCAACTCTAGCTTGTCCATACAATATTTTTTCTTTAGAATTAGAATATTAGATGATTAACTTCATCAATTAAGAAAAATAAATTGTTTTCCATATGCAAATTTTCTATTATAATGTGTGTGTGTATATCTTACATATAGAGGAACACATCACCGCTGCTACTGGACATTGATCACTGTGGTATGTGGAGGTGGGTGGGTGGGTGAGGATGTGAGTCAAACAATTTTATTTTTTATTTTTTATTTCTCATTATCTTACCCTGGTTAAGATTTTTTGCCATTGGCAAGTATTCCTTGTTGATTTTCATCAAATCCGCAACGTCCAATTTTTTTTTGCAAACTCACTGGATATATGATACAATTGAAACAATTGATTGGATATTATTGGATTGGCAAAAAAAATAAAATAGGGCATAGATTGAGAGTTGTGTACAACTAATTTAGTTTTAGATTTAATAGAGATTGGTTTAGAGTTGAAAGGGGTGAGAGAAGACAAGAGGAGAGAAAAAAATTAGAGATTACACTTGTTACGGTGAAGTTAAGAAAGGAGAGAGAAAATTGGGAAAAGAGGGAAAACTTGCAGGTTGTCATTTGACTGTTTTTTTTTTTTTTTTTTTTTTTTTTTTTTTTTTTTTACGTGCGTACCCCACATTTGAATCGGTTTACCTATTCTGTAATATAAAAGTTAGTAGGTATTGATATTTTTTTAATGGTCAAGGAGATAATGAAAATGATACTATTGGAAGTTTTGATTAAAAAAAATACTTACATCATTGTTGATTGAGTTGACCATTAACGACCCTTAACGGAAGGGAACCAGTGTTACAAAGATACAAACTTGGGAACCAGTGTTACAAAGATACAAACTTTAGGGGAGGTCTGTGTAATTTAGCAAATAAGAGAAAAGGCATGTGTACGTTGATGAAACCTCAAGGGAGGTCGGTGTAATTTATTCATTTTTTTAGTTAATAACTAAGTATAAGATTAGAACACAGTAAAGAGTACTTACTCATTCGTAAATACCAAGGAGCACAGCGGCGTTGGTAAAGATTCGGAAAAGTAAGTTCTTAGGTCTCGCTTTCAAACCACACTCCTGACTTAAAAAATATGGTGCGAAAAAACTTACCAACTCACTTGTGAATACTTAACCCTAAATAGGTTAGTATTGTCCTTACACATAATATTGTGTGAATTGATCTCATCGGGAGCTGTCTTCCTTCCCCAAAATTGTACCCTCCAATTATTGAAAGGTTTTTTTTTTTTTTTTTTAACTGATAAAGAACTCTCTCTCTCTCTCTCTCTCTCTCTCTCTATATATATATATATATATATATATATTGGTTAAGATATCTCTTTTAGAATAGGTGTCTTGTACTAATTTTTAACATTTGAAGTCGGTGATACTGTATAGAAAACTGAGAAGTCATGTGAGAGTTGAACATATATATATTTATATATTCTATGATTTTATTTTATTTTATTTTATTTAACCTGGCAAACAAACCCCGTCATCAACAAAGGCAAGAACAACAATCCCACCGATAAACACATCAACCACACCAACACCAAAAACATTAGCCTTCAAATACAAGACTAACATCCAGCTAGGTTAATAAAAACCCAAAACATTAGAAGATGTCAGTAAAGGTGGGAGTACGAACACCCACAAGCAAGGCTAATTTAGTGGCACAAGATTAATCCCCAAGATGAGCACCCGTTTTGACCACTATAATATCACTAAATATTTTTTATGAGTAGAATGATACCATTATAATATCAATAAATATGATGAGGGGAAGTAACTTGCAAATATTTATAGTTTAAAAAGGTTTTGTGCAATTTTTATTTTTTATTTTTGACAAAACTTAGAGAAAATTTATTCGTTCAAGATCAGACATGAATATATTCAATGAGTGACTCAACAACTACAAATTTATACATTCATGTGTGTCAATCTCAATTTTGATCAAGTATATAAAGTATCTTTATTTATTGAGATGTCCCCCTTATCTTTTACCAACCCCACCATCACAAACCGGTGCACACAGTTCAAAGTTATCTCAATTTTAAAATATTTAAAACTATAATCATTTTATAAAAATTAAAATTAAATCCAACTGTTAAACTAGTGAAATCGAGCTATAGTCATGAAATTTGGCTTTGAATTTCAATACAATTGATTGTAGATTAAAGTTTAAATTAAGTCCGAGATAGTTTTTCGTTATCTTGGGGGTACCAAATTGTAAAGCCCTCATTTGGATGTGAGACTGTCCCTCTATAGTGATTTTGTTATTGGTTAAACTAATCAATCAATCATACATGTTGCACTAATTATTATTATTATTTTTTCCGCTTTTTTTGTACGTACCCTATTTCTATTTTTAAAATAGAATCACAACAATTGTCAATGTGAAAGTGAGGGTACCCTATTTTTAAAATAGAATTACAACTATTTTAAAATATAACCGCGCTTTCAAAATGACACTAGTTGTCATATGGAGTATTTTACAAAATTGGTGGTCTATTTAAGAGTGAGCCAAGGCGGACCAGAAACTCATGTAAGGGGGAATGATTTTGAATTTTTTTAATAATTTCAAAGGGAGCAAATGTAGTATTTCATAAGTATATATGTCAAAATGATAAAAATAGGAGACATAATGGTAGAAAAAAAAACTTTTAGGGGGCCAATTGCCCCAGGTACAGCTTGGGTCCGTCCCAACCAAGGGTGTTTTCTCACCTTTCAAATAGAAAGGTTAACTATTCAAATCTTCATATGGAACGTGTGAGTTTGATGGTCCAAGTCTACATAGGAATGTTATGAGTGTGAGATTTTTGCAAGTAAAAAATACTTAAGACTTGAGAGAAATGAAAGACTCAGAATACAAAAAAGGAAGCCAAAAAATAAATAAATAAATAAAGGTCTAAATGGTTTTAACCAATCACACGATGACTGTGGAACACAGACACTAATGCGCGACTGTCCCTAATATTCCTTAACATTCCTCGTATACTATTAGATAGAGGCTATTAGATAGAGGGGGCAGTGAGCCATCACCATCTTCATCAATTTTTTTTTGCTGATAAATTTGGAAACAGATCCACCATACACAACCAATGTTAGGACCGTGTACATTTTAGGTAGAGAGAGGTTCCATTAATAACGAATGTTGGGGAATGGTAGGCAGTTTTCTACAACTAAGACCACCAAAATGCCAAAATATTTGTTTAGTAATATACCCTTATAATTTGTTCATTTTTAATAATATACCCATAAAATATTACTTTTGCAACCCCAACCACCACCACCTTACATCCCGGCTCCGTCGCTGACTATAACAGCTTTGTTTTTCATGAGTTGCACAGCAGAATGCCTGCTTCCGTTTTTCACAGAATCACTGCCTCTTCTATGATTAGATCATTTTGAGTTACTGGTTCTTCCCGCCATGCATGAGTTGTTTCAAGCTCTGAATATTGGTCACTAACTAGCATTTAATTTTAAACTTATTGCTATGCATCTATTTTTACTTTAAGATTATTTTAAAAATAGATGCATTTCCAATCCATAGTATCAATTTTATAGCAAAGGGCGTTAGATACAATGGATTGGGTGTCAGGGACGGAGCCAATGGAAGCCTAGGGGGGGCATGTGCCCCCCTGAGTTGACCAGCAACCTATAATATATGTGATAATTTTTAAAAAAAAATTCCATATATATGAAAAAATTTATAAAATGCCCCCTCAAATTTGTAATTCCTAAAATTATATTCGTATTTTTTCTTTATTTTCTCTTTTACTTTTCACATTCCTTAAATTTCTTTATAGAAAAAATCAAATTTCTCTTCCTCAATTGAAACTTTTTAACTATTTCCTATTAAAGTTCTTTCATTTTTCTTTCCTTTTATATTTTAACAATTTTCTTCTTCTTTGTCTTTTTGAATTTTATATATATATATATATATATGTACTCCGTATTGTTTTTTTGGCAGTGTGCCTCCCTCACTTGAAATCCTGGCTCCGTTACTGTTGGGTGTATATATATATTACATAATTTTAACATGTCAAAAAAATGTAATACAATTTTTGTATATAAAGCCATTTCCAATCAAATTGGATCACCACAATTCAGTCATTTTCAGATCATTATCATCAGATTAATGGACTCTCCAATGCATTAACAGGATTACACACACCCAAAACAAACAACCTAATATATAATAAATATATATATACATATATTTTTATAAAAAAAAAAAAAAATATATATATATATATATATATATATATATATATATATATATATATATAATAAAAATAAAAAAGCCAAATTGTTGAGTTGTCGTGGCACGGTTTTTTTTTAAATAAAAAAAAAAAAAAATTGGTTATTACACAAGAAACCTGATAGTTTTAGGGAAACAACAATTCTGAGTCATGAGCTTGGTAACCATATACAACAGAACCATCTATTGTACCAGGGCACCTTGCAAGCAATGGGATTTCCTTCTAGACTAAATAGTTCTAATTTGCTCACAGGCAAAAACCAAGGCAAACAAATTGAACCACGAGCTGGAATGGTTGCGGTTGAAAGCGTTATTATATCAAGTTTACCTTGCAAATCGCAGTGTCCACTCGGCAGCCAATTCATCAAATTTAGCTTTGTCTGCCAAGTACAAGTGAGCAATGCCAGGAACAAGTGGATTATCTGCAAGAATAAGTAGTTGGCGGTGTTTAAATTGTCACACAATCAAATTAAACCAATTTTGATCACTTCAGATTTTCAGGCCTAACGAATCAAATTTTATCTTGTTCTGCGCCGTGAATTTGTAGAAAACATTTCCAAGTAAATAGAACAGCACATATTCATCAAGAATATCTTCTCTGAAATAATGCAACACCCAACAACAAATCACATCTCCCCTTCCCGTAGCTCCCCAGCCGCCCAAAAGAGAGAGGAACAACAAACTAGAACAAATCCACAAACAAAAGAGACTTGAAGAACTTACTAGGGTCGAGGTTGGTGAAAATTGATCTGATAGCAAGTAGCACCTTTGAGATTGTTAAAGCCGGACTCCAACCGTCTTTCAAGATGTCCAAACTAACGTTTCCAGTAGAATCTACATTACAGTGGTAGATTCGAGTCTTGAATACCACCTGCAGCCCTTAACCTAAAATTAAAAATGAAAAAGGACCATACAGTGACTGATAAAAAGAACAATCCATATCATCAGCAATACAATAGGGCAATAGCAAGTTGGGCCCAACCCCATCTCAATAGAGTATTGAGGACAAGTGCAGCGTTCAAATCTAGGGAGAGGTACTGCTGTTGACACAAAGTTGCATGCAGTACATGAGAGAATATGCCTGTCAGTGAATCAGAGCATGATCCAAACCCTTTTGGCTACATAAAGTCCTACCAATTCCATGTACCATAGGCCAATAAGAATTTAATTCTTCCAGATTATGCATCACGATTCAATCTAAGAAATGTTGCAAGCAGATATACGAATGAGGACACTTTTACGACTAAACATTAAGCTAACAATTATGCCACAGACATAGGTAAGATAAATTAAAGAAAGGGACAGGATCAAACTCACCAATCCTCCAGAGAGAGAGTCTCCAAATAAAATCAATCCATTAGACATTTATAGCCGACATAGCTAATAACATCCTTTTAGTACAGCAATTACAACTTCTCCCTAATGTCTGGATCTCAAAAATGTAGATCCTTGACTAAACTTTCAAAGTTAAATTCAGCTGACAAGCTATCCAATGGTTCAGAAAATAAGGAACCATATAGATATTTCCAGAAAATATTAGCTAAACGCTAATCTGAAAAACAATTAACACTTTCTAATTAACGACCGGGTCCATCACCCAATTCAAAGTGGTTCCTGCATTGCAGATTGCTAGGAAGGGAGGACAGGAAGTCTGTAAACAAACATAACCTATAGCATTATTTGCCCAAAGAGACAACTCTTAAAGTGCATCGGACTAATTGAACCTGCCTTCTCATTTCGCAGCTAAACTGAAGTAACCGGCCGTATGGGTTTTGAATAATGTTAGAAAATTCCTTAACAGAAGGACTTCATAAACCTGAAAAGGGACTCAGGAATATAGCTAATTGACTTCTGAGGAAATTTTTATGACGTAATTTAAGAATGACTAACGAATTTTTTAAAGTTATTATCTAAAACAAATTGTTGGGTGATGTATATACATGAATATGGCTCAAACACCCTAATAATACACAATTCCACACCCTCTAAATGTGCTGTACTTGTGTTCAAAGATGAAAAAGAAACAATGTTGGTCACTGATTTTCAATGCTTCAAATGTTCTAGAGCATACCTTTGGAGGTTTGAATGGATAATCACTTGGGAATGTTATGTCAAGAAAAAATATGCCACCTTGATATGGTGTCCCTGCAATAAGAAAAATGCGCAGACCATAAAAACTACCATTAGCATGCAATTCAAATTAAGGTATTTATTTATAATCATATTTCATCTGTAATTGAAGTAAATATTATATGCCAAAATGCTGTTTGAAACTGAAAGTTTAATTATACTCATTTTTAAAAAATCCATTCAAGACCAAGCAAATACAACAGTAGAAAGATTATGGGAAGAAGAAATAACAAAGAGCTAGTGATGGGTCCTATGTGTGCTATACAATACCATGAAATTTGGTTTCAAAGCAAACGCCAGTGGAAGGAATACACAGTATTCTTACAGAACCTAACTTAGGAAGACACGTGCAAGACTACTTCACTATAACCATCCATATAGGGAACAAAACTAAGGCTGCAGGGCAAATGCATCAATATGAAGTGAGGGCGGTTGGTTGTTTTATATATCATCAATAAGTTTTTTAAATGCAGAAGCAGCATGCACTTCAATCGTATTATCTCATTTCTCAATTGATGCCTTTATTTCAACAATCTTTTCCATAATGAAAGTATTTAATGTTTCATAGTTTCATTAGTGGCCCTTGCCCCATGTAGGCTGGATACTTACAAGGAATACACTAATGTTGCGTTTGGGAGCGTTGAATCGGAACCTTGAATTTAGAATTGGAACAAATCTACTTCAAAATTTTAACTAAATTTCCTCCAATTCCAAATTCAAGCCGCTAATTCGGTGCTCCCAAACATAGGATAAGTTACAGCTGTGTTCAAGTTTTCTGAGAGTCAACTCAGGATCAAAGGTGCTGGTCCATTACTTAATTGTTGGAACTTAAAACAAGCTTGCGACATACATACAACTTGTAAGCATCTCAGTTGATTCCTCTGCATTGTCCATGTATTGCGAGACAACACAAGAATGATAGAATGTTGGATCTGTAAGCAAATCACTTCTTTTGGCCCCATGCAACTTACCTCTTCTCTATCAAAAGCACAAAAATATCAAAAACCACTTACACTCCCCTATCAAGATCTGGGTATCAAAAAAATCAGAGATTTGAAGGCTGATTTTTAATAATGCAATTTAGATGCAAGACTCTTATAGTATTTCATTTTCATTGTGAATCTAAGTTATTATATGTAAATATGTAAATATGCAAATGTTCAGTAGCTCTAAAAGCAAACTTTCAAACAATTTTATATGTCTCGGATGGCGTATTTTATTTATTTTATAGATCTATATTTTTTATTATTATTACAGATACTTTGAGCCTCATAAGTAGTGCGCTCTTGTGTATCTTCAACACAAATTCAATAAACTGCGAATGAGATGTCTATCATGTCTCAATTCCACTTAAGAAAGTGACCACTGCTGCAACTTTGAACAATTACCACATGAAGTTACAAGGGGTAGTGAGCTAGGGCCTTGTATATGCATAAGAGGTGTTCTAAAAGATTCCCTCAGGAGTACAAGAAAATAGTCTTCAATCAATTTAGAGTATTGGAGGAATAAACAAGGGCATATTTTGTTGTTTCTCCATTTCTTCCAGTATAGCACATTTTCTCCAGCATGTTTGAAACATTCTTTACACTTCTGTAAGTTTGAACAAATTGGGTAGAATACCATGCTAAAAGTAATCTAGTATTTATTGATTCCTTGTCTTCAAATATCAAGCTTGGCTTGCGAAAATCTCTTGTATAAATCTATCTTTTTCTTTTTCTTTTATTCCTTAATAGTGGATTTTTCAGACTCCTATGAAGTTTCAATGGATAGAAAGAGCTCCACATAAACTTGATGGTACATATAGGTTTTGCTTCTTTCATTCTGCTATTTGTTGTTTTTTCTAGTTTGGTTGCCGAAAATTTACTGATAGTTTAAATAGAGACAAGAAAGCAATGTCTTCCAAAACTTATTCTCCCGTTAACGTTATTTCTTATAAATACAATTAAATCAAAATGCCACATTCCTCATTTATTGACAAGTATAATTTTCCATCCTTTCTTCTTTCCCAATGTTGGAGAATATAGAAAGTCAAAAGGCTAAAACTCCAAAATAGGGATGATTGTAGCTTCTTCCTAAGATTGTCGATAAACTTTTCTTAAGCATGTAGATTCAAAAGAAGTTTATTGCAAGTGTAATTGTGAGGATTAAAATTTTAGAATATGTGGAGCATAAATACCGATAGGCTGTGTTTGGTGGCATGGAATTGGAGCCTTGGAATTGGAATTGGTGGAATTGAAAAAAAAAATTGGTTCAATTTCCTTAGTTGCTTTTCTCCAATTCCAATTCCAATTCCAAAGCTCCAATTCCATGCCTGTCAAATATGACCATAAAATATTTTATATTTAAGCGGATGGAAATTGTGTCCCTTAGGAGCTTTTGGAGTGGTGAGTGAAGTGAGTTGGTGTCACACCCCACTAATTTGAAGGAAGGTTGCGCCTGCGTGGCGCTATGCCAATTTTTTAAGAGATAGTATGCTTGTCATGTCTGGAGAGTTGGCTTCTACAATCTTGAAGAATTTTAGAATATTGAAGGATTTGTAGAAATTGGTATATTGCACAAGATTCTAAAAGAGTACAGAGTTTTGCAGAGTTAGTAAATATCTAACATAATTTAGAATCGTGTTCTACAATGACCGTCCATCAGAGGGAGAATACCTATATAAATGTAGACTCTCATTTATGGTCATTAAGTTTTGGGTAAAGTTAAGTAGGCACGATGTGAGTCTTACCCATGTACATATTTTAAATTGATTAGATTTAGTTAAGTAATATCCTAAGTTAAAGACGATGTGAGTCTTACCCATGTACATATTTTAAATTCATTAGATTTAGTTAAGTAATATCATAAGTTAAAGGAATCTAGAATTTCAATGACACCCGTGAAACCCATTTTATCAAAACATATTTATATATAAAAATATATATATAAAAAGAATATGATGAAAAAAAATGGTTTGAGGTCTTAAGTTTCCAATGAAAAAGTCAACAAATGTAATGAGTTTTCAATCAATTACTCATAAAAATGGTACAATATTACTTTTGCACATGTTTCTGCGGTGTACCATCCACCTCTCTAATTATCTCCCATAATTCCTACTACTCTCTAATTATCTCCCATAATTCCTACTATCATATGTTTTTAATGCTCATACTTCCATGATCAATCATTAACATATAATGATTCTTTAATTAACATAGTCACAATATGTCCGAGAATCACAAGTCTTAGACAGCTATGCAAGAGGGAGTTTTACCTTCAACAAAATTAGAAAAGAACAAGTATAATAATAACAATGAGTCTTACCTATCCAAAACTTTAGAGGAAAAATAGATAAATAAATAAATAAAATCATATTCTTCACAATAATCCCAACAACCCACAAAATCTCAAACACATTTTCACATTTTGGTCAATTTCGTTTCAAGCTCCAGTGCAGAAATAATAGAACCCATCATTCAAGTTGTATTAAGAGTTCAAATTTCACACAGCAAAAACAAAGATTTAGCACAAAAAACAAGAACCATTTCATCAACAACCACATCACCAAACATACAGAGTCCAGACATACAAACATGCATATATATATATATATATATTTAGAGAGATTACCTGGAGGACCGATGAGGGTGGCGACCCAGTGATAGAGATTGTCGCCTTTGGGACCAGCAGAGCAGTCAGGAGGTGGGTCCGTGTTGAGTTCGGCCATCTCTTTCTGTATCCTCTTTCCTGACGCCGACACCGACGTCGTCGACGGCCATGATCGTCCGCCTCCTCCACCCGACGTGCCTGTAGTGTTCATCGCGGACTTCGCTAGAGGAAGAGGGTAGCTTAATCAGATGGAGAGAGAGACAGAGACCAGACGATAAAATACCATCAATTAAGTAACGTCGTCGTTTGGTCTCTTAGGACAAATGTATGGCGATTTTTGCATTTATTATGCTCATTGACCATTAGATTAACTGACTTGTTTGCTAGGTAGATATAGCATTATATACTTTTATTTTTTCCAAAATTACAATGTACATTTAGGTAATAAATTAACGTAAAACCCTTTTTTTTTTTATGGAAAATGATTATGTGTTAATATATAAAAATTTAATGATTTAGATTGGCCCACTAATTCTAATTTTTTATGCAGTTAAGCATCAAAATAAAAAATAAAAAATAAAATTGAAAAAATAAATGAAGCCTTAATTTTAACATGAATAAGTTAATCAGCACTAACATGATGCAGTATTTAAATGATTTAATTCACTTCTCAAACACGGCCATTATTAATCATGGTCGTGGTTATCGTGGATTCGTGTTAATCTCACTAGAAAATGTAATTTTTACCTTTTTTTATCTAATATTATTTTTCTTGATATTTTCCTATATTTCGGGTAGACCCCAACCATCACTCTTCCAAATTTTAACTATATACCAAATTCTCGTGGCTTAGTGGCATATTTCTCTTCCTCTCAAAGTAAACAATGAGGGTTCAAGTCTAAAAAAAAAATAATATATAAATCTAACTAAAATTAGCTTTATTCATATCCAAACACCAACACTTACTCGGAAGCCATATATGGAGCAATGTAGCATAACTCATTTGCTAAATATCATTTTTTAACTAAATTTCTCTCTATTCTATTCCCATTCAAGGCGTTGATTTGATCCTTCCAAAATCCAAACATAACTTAAAAAATCATTCATGATTCCACTTTGAATGGTCTTCTAAAAATAAACCACAAAAATTAATGCTCGTATAACCTAGAATGGAAATATACATTTTATATAACATACAGCTTTAGGCAAAAACAAATGAATTAAAACAAAAAAATAAAAATAAAAAACACAAAACAAAAAATCAAGAAAACCAAATTTTCAACTCCCCTGTTGTTTCCATGTTTAAGGTATCAAGGTCCATCTTCTTCAAGAATACATATTACCATAAAATAGTATACATTGTTCTAAACTCCACATGCATGAGCAACAGTGAGCCGAAGGGGAAGAGAGTAAGAATGGAAAGGAAACAAAAATTGAAGAACAGAATAAAAAATGAATGGAGGGATATCATTAACAAAAAATCAAGATTTTCATCATCTACAGTCCCTGCAAGGAATCGAATTGAAGAACAGAATCAAAAATGAATGGAAAGATATGATTTAACAAAAAATCAAGATTTCCATCATCTACAGTCCCTGCCAAATCTTTGTAAAACACAATTTTAACTAATTAAGCTGTTACAAAATCAGATAAACATTCATGTCAAGTAAAATAAAGGCAAAAATTATTGCCAAAACCAATGGCTCAATCTCGATTCTAAGTCTTGAACCCTTGCCGATGGGACTAACAGGTCCAAATGCAGTGGAAGATGGGACTATCCCACCTGTGCTTGAATTCACACTGTCCCAAAAAAATAAAAAATAAAATATTTACACATGTTAAGAAGGCATGCCAAAAAACAAATAAATAAAATATGAAGTTATTTTTATCATTAAGAAGAGAGATTTAAGCTCTGACCTTCCAGTAAAAATACAGGATCCATAGCCTGCATGGAGTAAACACAGTTGAAAAGTCAGGGGAAATAGAAAAAAGCAATGAAGTAGAGTCTTACGATCATCATAAAGACGTAGAAATACCCTATGAATGGAAAAATAAATAAATATTATTTAAACAACAATGGCCAACATGCCGGAATAAAAGTACTAGACATGCAATGAGTTATAGGTTCGAAACATTTGGTGACATGGTCCATTTGAAACAAAAATCAGATGCATGGAAAACGAACAACGCCATGTGCTACCATGTTTTTCTTTTGCTAATTCATGTTACCACTGTATGCAAGTTCTGGTTAGGAAAATGCTTTTGTCCTTGCCACTTTTTTCTCACCATAGTGGCGCAAGTGATTCACAGTTTTTTGTTTTGAGAAGGATCAGAAATAAAGCTTGGAGAATTATGGTGAATAAAATGAATATGATGAAACAGTATTAACACATATTAGCATTACCAGCCTCCATATATTCCCATGATTTCTTGAAACAAGGAAATCACAGTTCTACACTCACCCCAAAGAAAGAAATGGTGAAAAAAAGAAAGTGACGGATTATTTTCCATTCCAGACACATAAATGAGTATTCCTTAAATTAATTATACTAGTTCTGATGAGATTCCCATGAGATAAAATAAAAAATAAAAAATAAAAAAAAGACTACGTAGCAAATATCAATTACTAAAATATGAAACTATTTTGTTTGAAAAATTCATGAGCATAAACCATTAGGCCATTAGCCCAGCTGGTATAACCTCTCCTCCTTCGAAGGGAAGGTGAAGGGTTCAAGCCCCATGGTGGCATTTGTGGGCGTGAGTGTGAGTGTGAGTATTTACCTAACCAAAAACAAAAAATTCCAGTGCATAATCCCCCACTACCATAAGACGTGTTTTTCCTACATCTTTTTCACTTTTATGTGAAATGTTAAAATATCATATAGTAATCAAGAAAAAATATATATAAAAATAAAAAAGAGAGGAGAGATTTGTGATGATTTTTAGATCTTTTTTATTAGGTGTTCTAGAATCCTCATGCACAAAGATAATCAACTTGATCATTGTGATAGGAGTCTATTATGGATTTTCGACCACATTCTCCTTGGGCCCCCTATCCCTTCCTTCTCCAAGTTCAGACTATGGAAGAAGGAGAAGGAAACAGAACCCAGTTGCTGAGAAATGCATGAGATTGAAGTTAACCCTTCTCAGAAATGGTGCACTGATGCTTCCACGAAATGAAATCCGTGCCCATCAAGGAGTAAGGTTAGACCTCAAAGCGACATTTTATAAGAATAAATCCCAGTCTGCTTTTAGATTACTTTATGTAATGATTCCAGAAAAAAAAAAAAAAAAAAAAAAAAAAAAAAAAAAAAAAAGAAAAAAAGGGAATGCTTTGTGATTCAGCCAGAAATCAGACTGAAAACCATGTTAAATAGGTCACACCAACCAACCATTTACCTGCAGCTTCATTGCCATAAAAAGTCAATTTTCCTTAAAAATTGATTGAACAAGAATCATTAATAGTCAAAGAGTGCCTTTCAATTTTCAAAAGAGATGGGGTTTCCACTTCTACATATCAGCATAGATTTATTAGCAGCCACATAACCACAATGCTCACAAGAAAAAGCAATGCTCAATTTATAGGTTTCGTCTTTTAAAATATTATTTCAAAGTCAAATTACAGTTTGCAAAATGCAACAATTAGATTTACAGTGTTGTCTGCACGCATATGAGTAAGATAGAGTCAAAGTAACTCATTCCTAATCAACACTTGATTCCACTCCCCTCCCACCAAACTTCCCAATCATAATCCTAGCTCCATCGTTGGAGAAAATGGGGTAAGGCAATTCATACTAAAATGTTCTGTTATAGAACCTATCAAGAAATAGAAGAAATATAGCATCCAACATCCTATGAGTTTAAAATTTGACAGCAACAGAAAGCAGAAAGGCTACAAGAACTTACTGGGATCAGCAGTAGTAGTTGTGGCTGTACCATCGAAGTCACAGGTTCCACCAGCGCTATGCATTCTTTGATAATAATCATTGTAAGCGTAAGAAGCATGATTTTGTAATGTATCAGGCATATAACACGGCTTCCCTGGTTGAATGGCACTACAGTTAGCCTGGCCTTGCCCGCAAGCCCAGTTCAGTCCATCTTGCAACTTATTGGTATCTGCACCTTGTTTTACAATACAAAAGATTGATGAAGAATTCCCAGTGATTTGGTTGGGATTACTCGAACCCAGTGAATAAACAGCACTCCCGTTAGTGAAAAATACACCCCAATTTCTCTCTGAGACAGGCCCAGACCTCTTGTCTTCATTGAATAACTCATAAATATATGCATTAATGGGAACAGAGGGCTGGCTAGGTGGACCTGAATCATTTAGAACTCGCCGAATCAAGTTGTTATTGAAGGTTTCAGCATTTTCTATGGTGGCATCGGGTTCATTGGCTCCACCAGCCCACGGCCATCCTGATTCTGTCACGACAATTGGTATCCCTGACATATTGAACGCCGCTATAGAGTTATAGGTGGCATCCACCATAGCATCAAACATGCTGTTATAGTGAAAAAGAGTATTTGGATCAACAATCTGTTTGACTGAAGAAAGTGGCTTGAAAAGAGCGTAGTCGATAGGAAAGATGCCATCGCCATTAACATATCCATTATAAGGATAAGCATTTAACATGTAATAGGAATTTGTGTTCTTCAAAAACTGAAGAAGTGTTGAGATTGTAGAGTTCCATGTAGAATTGAAGGTGGCTGTAGAAGGGGGAAAAGGCTTAGGGATTATGTCTATGGACTGCGGAGTTGAAACTTTGATCTGATAATTCAGGTTTGAAGCAACTAGGGCTTTATGAAGGTAATTCATGGCAGGAACCAGAATGGAGGCAGCATTTGGAATTGACGTAAGAACCTCACTGCCGACAGCAATGGCTGTGATATTGGCTGAAGGCAAGTAAGCAGCAACATTTTTATTAATCCAGGCTGCTGCTGCTGATGGAGATTCCCCGATCCCCAAGACTTGATCATTAGTAACACCAACCATAATTTCAATCCCAGTGTTCGAAAGAGCATTCAGCAAATGAGCATCAGCATCAAAAAGACGTACGTGAGTTATCTGATTTGCTTTAAGGATTGCAACCACTTCTGAAGCTGGAGGCATGTTGGAAACAGCAGTTCCAATGTTTATCCCTACAAATGCACCTGCAAGTACAAGAATATGATTCAACAATCACTTGTATCAAACATTATGTTAGATTTGTTTGTGGATTGTATGACAAATTCCAACTGTCCCTTCATATCAGAATAAAAGATTAGCCAAATTCACCAGGCTAACCGCTACCGCCATTGTGGAGTCTAGGGAGGGGTCATATATACGCAGCCTTACCTCCATATGCGAAGAGGCTGCTTCCCATTTTGAACCCATGACCTCCAGCTCACAATGGAGCATCCTTACTGTTCATATCAGAATGTAGAGCCAATATACAGGACGGCATAAATGAAGATTAGGATTTTTTGATGGGGACACAAGCATTTCCCTGGACTTCTATTAGAACCCTTGCCACTGCCATCTTTGCTTATAACTCTCTAATCAGACAATGGAAAACCTGAATGCTCTATTTGGCAAGAAGAATAGTGGGAGGAAGGAATAACAGGGAATGAGTGAGAGGCAGAGTAAAGAAAAGTAAAGGGATGGAGAGAATTTCCATTATTTGTTAGAAAAGAAATGGAAAGAAAAAGAAAATGAGAGCAAGATCATATTCCTTAAGGGATCTTTTTCTTTCCACCCAAAAGTAGGAAGGAACTTTCCTTTATATTTTTGTGCTTCAAAGAACACCTTCATATTGCAAGAATACAATGGTAGAAGAATTGAACATTATTTACTATTATACTCCATATCTTCCTACTCAACCAAACAAAAGTAAAGGAAAAACAACCCCAAATATTTAAAAATGCCTCTTTCATCCCTTCTACCTCCCCTTCTTTTCAACTTTTAATCACCTGTAATATACACAGATAATAAAAAAGTGCAATTATCCCCACCATCATCTAAGAAACACTAACACACACCAAATGAGATTACAAGAAAGCACCCAACAACTCAAAGATCAACTAACCAGCATTCGGAAATATATTGTTTTTATATATATATATATATATATGTATAACAGTTTTAAAATAAAAATGATCAATGAGTTACTGGTCAATGGGTATGAGGTTGGTCCTAAGACAACTTTAACTAGTGAAGTAGAAGGTTCAAACATAAGAATAAAACCCATAGGGTAACAGATTCTTCTATTGTTTGGCTAAAAGATGATAATTCCCAATTCTCATGGAATAGAACATAGCACAGCAAGCCCTGATCTAAAATTTTGCATTGATGAAGAGGGTAGAAAATTTCTTTCATAAATATGATAGCTGTCATTGAGGAAAAAATATTATAGTTCTCCAAACCACAACCACCACCAAGGCTTTTTCCCAACTACTTGGGATCGGCAACATGAATCCTATGTTTCCCCTCTGCTCTATTTAAGGCCATAACCTCAATCAATCCACATGCTATCATACCCTTCCTTACTAACTCTATTGACGTTAACTATGGTCTTCCTCTTCCCCTAGTATTAACCCTAACCTAAAAAACAAAAATTAAGAAACAATGAAAACATCACGAGCTTTCCTGGCATGTGCATGTCAGACTTTGAGAATGGAACTTCAACGCTGAATGTCTGAGCCAGTTAGAACAAACCTTATGTGAAGCACATTCCAGAGTGTAAGCTGCGGACACATTCTGATAATACATGGAGCACAAGTGCAGAACTGCTCCAAAAACCCTTACTATAATAGAAAAATGTCTAAAATCTACAACGTCATATCCTTATAATTGTTTGTTTCTATCAGTTATCATCATAACTTCAAGAAACTGCCACACTAACATTAAGTTAATACTCAATTACCCATGCTCTTGTATTAGAGGCAGCTCCACCATTTTCCGTAAAATGAAAATGATAAGCATAATTGACTAGAACTCCTAATATAAATTATGGATTATTACTATCCCTGGTATTTTAATTTCTTTAAGAAATTATAATTAAGTATAGAGCATAGTTTATGGACCCAAAATTCTGAAGTAGATAAAGCCATCACTTGAGAGGATCATTTGTTCTTATCCTAAGAAAAACACAGACTACGATGTAGAAAAAGAGAACAGCACAAATTAATTAAATTACCTATTGTGTTGGAAAACATTCCAATTAAAAGCAGGACACTTCCAAGCCATATTTCAGGCATCATCAAGTTTCAACTGCAACCTTCTCTCCTGAGCCCCTCCCTCCTATGTTGGATGTTGTAACTGAAACTGATTCATCAAACACATAGAAAATGCTGTAAGATACCAAAACAACTAAAACTTTTAACCAAAGATGAAAATATATATGAAAGAACCTCAAATATATCAACTTTTTTTTTTTTCCCTAAGTAAACTTGCATTAACCAAAACCAAACTACAAGGTCAAGAGAGAGGGCATACCCTCACTAACAATTGAAAAAGACCATTTCCATATATCAACTTGAAACATAAACTTTTCGTCTTAGTGACCATAACAATTCAATACAAATGAAGCCTAATATGTAAACAAATAAATAAGAAAGCCCCTCGTGGAACTATTAATACCCAAACATATTGATTTCAAGATGAAAATCAATTTAGGAAAAAACTCAAGCCCTTCTTATCAAAAACATTATCCAAATAAAAGGTTGCATTATGATTTATTAAGAGAATAGCTAGAATTCTAATTTTCAAGAACAAAACATTCCTACATTAACAAATTTTAGTGATACAAAATACAACTGCTTTTAACAATTCTATAGTTCCCTTGAGCACATTATCTGAAATTTAACAATCACCATAATCTCTCTTTTTCTCTTTATCTACTTATTATTGGAATCAAACCATCTATTGACCATTTTCCCTTTATTGCTTAACTATAACTCCAAAACACCTTCCAAATATCTACCAAATGTCTCTTCGGCGAGATCCAACCACCACCACCGACTGTTTCCCCTTGAAAAGTCTCTCACAGAAATGCATGAAAAGAAAATTTAAAAATTAAAAAAATTGACTGAATCTCCACCTTCCACAGCACACCACTTTACACACATTACATAAACCACACTTGAAGCATTTGGCTGCAAGTAACAATTATTAATGCTTCTGTTCAACCAAGAAGCCAAGTCATTGAAAACCTTAATTGGCCCGTGTAGGTTCAACAATAGCATCATCCCAAGTAATATGACTAAAAAACAAAATACAAGAAGCATACATGATAAATGAAACCTCAATTGATAACACATAATGACCACGAACTGAGTGTGGCAGAGCATCATGGGCTAAGAACAATTTATAATATTAAAAGAGTAAACAAAGAAGGCATAAAATCAATCTAAATTGACTCATTCTTTGGTTCTTCAGTTATTTAGAATACCCAAAAACTGGAGAAATCAAGGCTAATCCAACAGGACATTCAATATAGTTAATTGAAACATATAGTGTTTCATTTTCTCAAAATGAAGAGAGAGAGAGAGAGAGAGAGAGAGAGAGAGAGAGAGAGAGAGAGAGAGTAAATAATATATAAAAGAAACATAAAGCAGTAATTTATCAAACTAATTTTAGTTGTCACTGTCATTAGATAGTGGGAAGTGGGTAGATCCATCTAAAACAAACATCTTTAGATGTGGATTTGAACTGCCTAAGCTTAATTGGTTTCAATTGAAAATCTTATCATAGGAGGCAAAATAGATTGAAGTCTGTGGATTAAAGCATCTAGATAAAGATTATTGATAATGTACCAAAACATGACAAATTTGGAGCGACGTTAAACATTAAATGACAATTTAGAGATAGTTGTAATAAGAGATAACAGCAAATGAGTTGCAAGCTTTGATGTCTCCGTAGCAATTTAAGCAATCTAGCAGAGGCCATGAAAGGTCAATACGGAAATCAAAAGCATCAGCCCAACCCAGATTTTAGTTATGCCAAAAAAAGAATCAAGCTAATGCTACAAGTCTACAACTGACTTGATGTTGCTGAGGTGCATATATTGTCAGCACTTGTCAAGTATATATGCTTTCTATTGCCCTACTCCAAACTTACTATGAATGCAAGCATCTTTATATATGGTATGCAGGCCCTAGACTAGATATAACTTCATTGTTGAAATGCACAAGTTAAAGAATCGAACGGCTAGCTCAATTTATAATGCTGTTGTTCAGCCTAACTGTCTAACTCATGCACAAGCCGGACAATTCTTTGGCACATTAAATATGCTCTGGTGTCAATTTGCCGCGTTAGCTTCCATTCACTAATCCCTTAAAGCGAGACAGTTTTGGGAGCTTTCAAAGACCTCTATTATTATATTCCAAAACAAAACTCAACATTTGTATTGCAAAATGTACGCATTATCCTTTGCAGCAAAAGAGCACAATGCAGATACATCAGAGACAATCTGGATAAATTCTGACAGTAACGGAACACAAATTCAATCCAGCTTGGTAAAGCATGACAAAATGACAATCTCATTCACCTAAAAATTAAAATGCTTGGTAAATCTCCGCCGCATCTTGTATTTGTCAACAGTTTACAGAAATTCTAAAAGCAAATTAATTCATGACTTGAATCTACCAAATAGTAAGCTTCCGAACCACTAAAACTAACAAAATAGTAAGAAAATACAAAAACCCATTATAAGTTAAGCCTAAATATAGAGAACCCACATAATAAAATCCCCAAAAAGACATTAAACAACAAAGTAGAAGACCCAGAAAGCAAGAGAAAAGGAAAAAAAAAAAATTTAACCCCAAAAAAAAAAGAATAGGAGAAGAAAAGGAAAAAGTGAAGTACCTGATTCAACTTGTCCAGCTGAAGCCACACCCAGAAAGTTCCCCTCCAAGAGACCTCCACAGATTTAATAAAACCCTAAAAAAAAATTCACAAGTAAGCTCAGTTGAGAGTTCAGTTGAGACACAAAATGAGACTACCCAGAACACAAAATCTAAGAGAGAAATCTTGAAAGATCACAAAGCACCCCCTGACCCCTGGTAAAGACCCTCACTTATATATGGAAACCAGAGCAGCACAACATGCATAGTTCTGTACTTAGAATAAATTCTACATTTAATACCAAATAGTGTACAAGTATACCCTACCACCCCCAAAAAAATATATATATAAAGTCACACGGATACATAATATATATATATATATTTATTTATTTATTTATTTATACATATGGATCCAACACTAATACTATTATTTATATATTTATATAATTCAGATTTCAGACCTTCAAAGGAAGACTGTCCTGTTGTTTGTCTTTAGATGTAAATATACTGGTTTTAAAAATAAAGAAGCTAAATTTTTTTTGGGTCTGAAGACTGAAGTCTGTGAAGTGTAGTCTGAACCTGATTACATGAGAGAGATGGGTTTTGGACACTTCGAGATTGTCGCCGTATGTTTAGTATACATTTTCCGGAAAAGGGTTTCACACTAATCTGTGAATTTTGGGTGATTTTCCCTCCAAAAGTCATGTTTTCTTCATCTTGGAAAGTGACCTGAAAAGTCATTGGTCTGTGGATTTAGTAATTTATTCCATTAGTGTTTTTTGAATTTATTGTTGAAGCCAACTAATGTGCTATATTTATTCCAGGGATGAGTATTTATTGATGGATTTGATGGCTTTATTTTGTATGGGCTTTTTTTTGGGTCCAGAAAGTGTAAAAAGGCTGATTGACCAGTGGGCTTTCCAAACAGTTTAAATCAGCTTTAATAGAAATAGAGGAATAAATTACTAAATCCACGGACAAATGACTTTGGTTATGGGGGGATGGAAAGGGAGGAAGAAAATAGAGGAGGGATGGAAGTTGGAACAAACGTTTTTTTGTTTGGCATAGAAGAAAGGAAGAGGAAAGGATGATACAATGATAGGGCCATCTCTTTGGATCCACCATTTTGCTTCAATTTGGAAGTAATAGGAAAAGGGGCACAAGGATGTGAGATTGTAAAGACATTCTTACCCTTACGGCCAGTTTGGTACGATGGAAATGGAAGAAAAAGAAGAGATGAAATGTTCGAAGTTAAAGAAAGGAAAAGGTAGAGGAAGGATTTGGAGGGATAAGAAAAAACGAAATTATTGTAAATTCAATCAAACACAATAAATAGTGATACTCCTTAGATGAGATTTGCAAGACATTATTACCCATGTTCAATTATGTTGTTTATATATTTAGGGGTATAGTGGTAAAATAATGCTATCACCCACATACTTTCCACTCAACCAAATGAAACGAGGATATCATCTCTTTTTTGGCTACATCCAATTTGTGTTTGGCTACATCCGAGTAAATATTGAGAAAAAAAAAAAAAAAAAAAATTGTTCATAAATAATTTCAGTTATTCAATAAATAAACAAATCAAATTTGAATTTGTTTAAGAAACGAGGCGAATTCGAATAACGTTCAATGAACATGCAGCTTCTATGAGCTCATGAACATGCAACTCATATATCATGAATGGGCAACCTATGTAAAACTTGCAACTCATGAACACATTTCTTTTAAGTTAGATTTTGTAGTTTTTACAAGTTTTCTTCCTCTGCCTCTTTGTTGAAGAACAGAAGTGACAAAATATAATAAAAATAGTATGTTTCATATTTCACAAGCCAAACTGCGAGTGTTCACAAATAACTTAAGTCAAGGGCGACTACAACTTTTCAAGTTGTAAATCAAGCTAATGAATGAAGCAAATTCAAACAATCCCAAGGCCATGTAAGGATTGGTACATAAAATAACTTTTTGAATATCTAAATTACTACCAATATTCCTCACCCCTGTACATCCTTGGGTCACATATTCGCTTCATCAATGTTACTCACTTAAGTCACATAAAGTAAGAGATATAATGTCGAGAATGAAAAAGCGACAAAATTTAAGTCACAAAAAAAAAATTAAAATAGCGTGCAAGCAGGAGAGCCGCAAAGCATAAGAGCTGCCCACTAATTTAAAAAAATGGTATGACCTAAGTTACCAAGGGTGGATCTTTGTGTATGTTTAAGTGGGCTAAAACCCGCCCCCAAAAAAATAATAATTACTACTAGTATTATCTCATCCAAAAAAAAATTAGCTCACCCCATTAACAATTATTGAATCCGCCCTTACACACAAATCGGAAGCGAAAATGCAAAAGCAGCAAAAAATAAATAAATAAAAATAAAGAAGAAGACTTTATATGCATTTTGATAATAGTCATTCATAATAAATGTCACTTGTCCATGATAAAAATCCTTGTGAATTCAAGAATTGGCAAATTGATTTCGCGAATTATACAACAAACCGTTAGCCTTACTTTTCAAAGAAAAGTTAGTGATTTAAGTTCCACTAAAGACGTGTGTGAGTATCAACTAAAAAAAATTAGCTCTTAAAAAAACAGCTAGACCCCTTTAGAAGGATTGTTTGGCTTAGGATATGTGTCGTATGACTTCATTCCTCACATCTATACCCCGATGCGAATAGCGGATGTGTTTTAGGACTGGCCGGTGCAGATCAGGCTGTTTTTCTGTCGCCTGCTACTGGAGAAAAAACAAGATTCCCTTCTCCTTCTACAATTGACAAAGGATATAAATGGAACATGAGGTTGTTTTCAATAGAAAAAGGCAAAAGACAATGAATGGAAAGAGGTGTGAAAGCGACAAATACAAAGTCCTATTAGTTGTAAAGTAACGTGCAAAGCTGACAGTTAGTTTCTGTGTCTCCAACAAAAGATTCCCTCTTTCTTTTTTTAGTTGAATAAAAAGATTCCCTGTTCCACCGGCATAGGATCCCAAAATATAGATACGAGGACCCATCACCCATTTAGAAGAACAGCCCATGTTATAGCACACAATAATTGTCATAAGAGTGTGCCTAAACCAATTATCGGCAAAGTAGGCCTTCCAAGGCCAAGTTTGATAATGGTGTCCTGCCTCTTAGAACACCACTCCACAATCCAACACCCGACACATGCAATTCCTCCATCCCTCACCCACTGGGCAATTACCGAAAAAAATCCCTAAAGTTGCCCCAACACTTGAAAAAGAGTCAAATGGCCCACGAAGCCGTTCACAGAATTTCAAATGCAATATTGTCTCACTTAATAATAATAATAAAATAAAGGAGGAATGTTATAAGCTTGTATACTGGGAATTCTGAATTATCCGATTGAGCTTAATAACTGCATAGTCCTTTTTCTACTTAGGTTTTTCAGCAATCAAACCAAGCGCATAATATGTTCCTAACAGCTACTACCATTTAAAGCATGTCTAGAGAAACATCCGACTTGAAACCATCCAAGTTTCCAACTACAAGTACAATGCATAAAGCTCACTGACTAGGAGACTTTCCTGCCTGGTTCCCTTCAGTAATCTACAGGATTCGGGGTTCGGCTCCGGCTTCGACTTGGGCTCCGGCTTAGGTCCCTAACTCGAGAACGCTCCGCAACTGGACTTCTGCTGCGGCTTCTTGATCCATTATATGGGGGAGAACGCTCCCTTAATGGACTACGAATGGGACTCCTCGAGCCATTATAAGCAGCAGGAGAACGGGAGAGTGACCTGTCTCGACTGTACCTCTTCTCTTGAGGTGAAACAGACCTGTCCCATGATAATAACACATCACATGAGTAGACAAATAAATCAAGCAGATAGATGCAGAAGAAAATTGTAACACAAACGACCTTCAGTTATCTGCAAGTAAAAAAGCAAATCATTGAACAAACATTTATACATGGACGAAAAGAGAAGTTCACAGAGAGAGAGAGCCAGCCAATTTGTATGACCTGAGTGGGAAGAAGAATGCATAGGCAGAAAGAATGTTGTATTGTTTGCGAAGAAAGCTTTAATGCAAATGAAAACTATATCATACCTAGAGTAGTACCTTTCCTTGGGCGGCGGAGAATAGTAATCACGACTGCGAGATCGTGCTGATCTAGAATAGCGAGGGGGTGGAGATCGAGAGTACCGAGGTGAGCGAGAATAACGAGGTGGAGACCGTCTTCGATCCGAAAATCGACCCCTGCACCAATAAGAAAGTATTAAGCTCCAAAGGAAGGAGTTCATAGATAAAGTAACATGAGTTGATATGGTTGGGAAATATATGATAGCAAATTGGAAATTTCATGGTATCAGAATATCAAAAGCCTACTAGATAATAGAAATTCAATTTGTTTCGATTAACTATTAAAGCCTACTGCTTTGAACCTCTGAAGTTTAAAAAATAAATATTCCAATGGTCAACCCACTTCTGCACTGTCCATTACTATGTCAAGTCTAAGTTTTTGCCAAAGATTAAAAAATAAAACTCATGATCAAATTGCTTCTGCATCATCCATTGCTATGTCATCTCTAAGTTTTTGCCAAAGATATTAGATTCAATTCAAATAGCATAATGTGTAACATCATGTTCTTATGAATTAAAAGTTAACTCCATGACATTATCAAGTAAAAATACTAGGTTTCGCATGGATTATTTATATCTAATAATCCAAAACAAAAGGAATGTTTATATTCATTTCATGCCAATAAAAAATCAGACCAAAAGAGAGACAAGGTTACAAAGAGAGACAGAGAGAATGATGTGCTTGTTTGAGTATGAATGTTTGCATAAGCTTGGGAGTGCTTGAATATGAAATAGTTGATATTCAAAAATCAGACCAAAAAAAAGACAAGGTTACAAAGAGAGATAGAAAGAATGATATGGAGAAAACTCTACCTCCGCTCCCTTGTCCTCATATCAGATGGCTTCTTCCTGTTCTCCTCCGCAAATACAACAGTCAGCTGTCGTCCTTGAAAAATTTGACCATCCATTTGATATTTAGCTTCAGCAGCATCAGTAGGATCTACATACTGGACAAAACCAAAGCCACGTGGCTCCCTGCAAAAAAGAGGGAAAATAAAGGGGAAGAAAAAAGTAAAGAGAACAGCAAGGTTTGCAACCAGAGGTGAAATACTGCCAAATTTATGGTTCTTTTGGGGCTGTTTGAGAAACTCCAAAACCCAGTCAGCGGAGGAGAATAAGACTGGATTTTAGTTTTTGATGTGTAAACTATCTAAAGTAACACCCTATGGAACAGCTTCCTTCTGCAAAACAGGTGTTTTTTCAGGGATTCAAAACCAACGTTGGAGTTGGTTCCCTCCTGAATAGGATGGTGCAATGCATGTAGACCCAGCCCAATTATTTAGGAAATTAGCAGCCTTACTATTGAAATATGCCCAAATCATCCCCAATAGTATGGAAGGCCATGTTAAGCACATAGATCAAGCACTTGGCAGCTGACCTTGCAAGTTTCAGTTTTAAGATGACTTGAAATTCTTCAAGACTTGAAATCTTCACAATGAAATCAAATCCAATTTCCTTCCAATCTTCACTACTCTTACATCATCTTGAACAGAACTCTTACTACTTCATTGATGTCAACAAAACTCTTACTAGTTGATTCTCTCATCAGAACTCTTACTACTTGATTGGTGTCTTCTGAACTTTTATTTCACTGTTAAAATCTCAAAAACTTTAATAAACCAACCCAAGCTGAGTCGATAAAAGAGAATATCATGAATAAGAGATTAATCAGTAACAGGATTTACCCAGGAAAAAAAAAGTAAATATAAAAATAAAAGGAAAAAGGAAAAAGGAAAAAGGAAAAAGGAAAAAAAAAAACAACAACAACAACAAACAGAGAGAGAGAGAGAGAGAGGGTAGCTCAATTCATGAAGTGCGTACATTTTTTATCCTATTGGTAAGTAATGAAACACATAAATTTGATCAAAAGAAAAGTTAAACGTTTAACCAACAAATATTTTTTGATAAGTAAAATGGCAATAGATAATGAACGTTTAACCAACAAATATAAGCATACTAATATAGAAATCACAGTGCACAAGCTGCGCAAATTCACCCAGTATAATAATCCAGGCACATTTAACCAAAAGATAGAAGTATAGTAGCACACTAATACCGAAACCACATTACTCAAGCTCACCCAGTATAATAATCTCTTGGAAGGTAAATGTCCTTGAGAGGACCGTAATGCCCAAATGGCCTCCGAAGGTCTTCTGGCCTGCACAATAGCATACATTCATAATATAACTAACATGCCAAGTAAAAAAAAAAAAAACACACACAAATCAAGGAAGTATTTTAATGAAAACAACCAAAATAAAGGAGTGCAAATTTACAAGTACAACTAAAATGTGGTCACGCAACATGTATATTGTACAATAAACAAAACATGCACTTAATAAGCTGAGCAATGATCTAAACAATGATGTCTATATTCAACACAAGGGATCCAGCAAATAACGAGGATCCAAATAAATCTTCTACCACGTATTGAAAGAGCACAAGCTTTTACATTGTCACCTTTTCCCTTGGTGTGTATGATGGCATTTCATCGCATCTCTTGGTACCACTCTACATGCTGTTTATTCTAAATAAGTTGCTCTAAAAACCCATCCCCCCCCCCCCCCCCCCCCCCCCAATATTGTTGGGTTGAGGATGCATTAAGCTAACTACACGAGTCAATTTCCATATGGAACACACGTATAATCATTTGACTGCTAGAATGCATATATTGCATCAAACAGAGCTAACCACCCAATTAAACGATTCTTTTGTTATGAAATTAAACAAAATGTCCTGCATATAATAACTTTGCGCAACAAGTTTGTGTAATAGTAATCACAATACAAAAAAACTGGGAGTTGTAATGTTAGTAACAGAAAGTGGTGAACTAAAGTAAAGGTCGAAACAAATAATTTTGAAGTCAATAACTATGCATCATATTTATGGAACGTCAGAGAGAAAAATAATGCAAGTCACTCCATAATGAGTCTTCTCCGAATCAGAACACTTCACATAACTCCAGGTAAAAGAAAAAAATAAAATAAAATAAAATAAAATAAAATAAAATAAAAAAAAGTAGACAAATCGAGATGGAGTAATAAAGTGCCATATCCAATGGCATTGCTGCTGCCTTATCCAGTTTAGCGCCATTGATCAAGGCCAATCATCTAATCAAGGATGCCATGAACAAACAAACCATATGTGGAAGGCCCAATCTACATCAACCTCATAGGCTACCATGAACCGGTCCTACTACAACACAATGAATAATATCCAGTCTCAAATTAAAAATTAAAAGAATAATTAAGCAATAATAGTTTTTATTTCTCAGCATGTCAGATGCTAATTAGTAACAAAGCTACCACATTGGGATTGCAATGTCAAACAACCAAAACCCTTAGATCATACCAAATTTTGTTAAAATAAAGTGGGGACATGGCTCAACATCCATTTATTTAATAATAATAGGAAAGAATGTTTTCTTTTTCATTCGAGGCAAAGATGTAATAGAAAATATGATAAAGGGAACTTTAAAGCTAGGATTTCATTCTCTCATCTTCATGCAAGCTAATTTATATTTAAAAATATAACATGTTTGATTTCATACAATAATCATCCTTAAACTCTTGCTTATTCTTATATTTGTTGAAATATATTATTTTATGAGAACCTCCACGTATATCCTTGCTGAAAGCCAGTTGATTTAGTAATTTTTTTAAAAGAAAATCTAGAATTGGGGATATGCTTGTATGTGTGTGCTTAAAGAGAATTAAATCCATGGGATTAAAGTTGGAATTCTTGGAAACATATAGATTTGCGGATAATGCAAACTTCTGAGTGTGGATATTGAAAAAGAGTCCTGCCTGGATTATAGTAGAGAAGGCTACACAGCCAAACACTTGTTGTGCAAGATGCACAACAATTAGGGGTGGCTATTCATGTTTCAGTGACGTGTCATGACACGGGTATCCTATTATATGGGTCAACACAAGCACAACACACATTATTCGTGTCAAGGAACTTTGACATGAAAACGACGCGATTATTGGTCAGATAACACAACACGACCCGCTTAACCTATTTAATAAATGGGTCAAGACCTGACATGACATGACAAGACATGTTTAATTAAAATTTCATACAATTAGTGTCATTTTTAAGATGAACATGACAAGTTTATTTAAATGGGTCACTTCTACCACGAACACGACACATGTACCGAACATATTTAGTTAAACGGGTCTAATTGGGTGGATGGTCAAACACAAACACGACACGTTTAACTATCGCGTCAATTCGGGTCAACATAATTACAACCCAACCCTGATTAACCCAAACCCAAACCCAAACTCACTTATCATTGTCGTATTCAAGTAATGTTAGCATGCCGCGTAAAGTATTGCCACCCCATCAACAAGCATATGCTTCTTAGAAGGGGTGACTCCCAAATTCACAATTCACATGCAAAGGAATGGTTGGTTTGAGTCGTTTGACGGACAAAAGAATAGTCGTAATGGGACAAAGCAACTTTTGAATAAAAATAGAAAGGTTTTGTAATGTTCAAATCTTAACTTTAGGAAAGAAGAAGAAGAAATCTCAACAGATAATGGTTAAAAAATCTATTTTTCGTAAAAACATGTATGAATATTGGATGAATGATTTGACTGCTAAGCTCAACTCCTAATAAGATTACTCGGACAAGAAGAGTGTAGGACTGCTAGGGAATGGTGGAGAAGTCAGCATGACATAAAAAAGACATGTATCGTACTAATAGTTTTAGTATAGTTTTCGGAAAATAATAATTTCATGCAATTCCATGATTTTTCTTTAGCTATGTGAAAGAAAAAAAAAAATTGATGATTAGTTTAGAATTTTGGTTAGGATTTGTTTGAAATACTGAACTAATGTCCCACTTTTATAGACAATTTATTTTGAGGTAACACAACTTGGAGTTGTTAGAAAATATATATTAAATTTGAGCACATGCTATTTTTAGTGAATTGTTCAATTCACCCCAACAATATTGTATTTTCCTGTTTGAAATAAATATTTTGGAAGGCCACACAAAATAAATAAAACATACATATTTATGAACCATTGGTTTGAATGCCCAAGAAGTCTCCTTCCAAGAAACGTTATTCTGTCACAAAATCCTAATAAGCTATATGATCAAATTTACTTGTGTTATATTGTTAACTATTGGATTGGAAAAATCTAGATAAACACAAAGACATAATGTGGTTGGTATATCTTGGCTGAAATTATTGTTAAGATAATATAGACTATCTGCTTTCTGTAAGTGTAAAGTTTAAAAAAGGAAAGTTTTCAATGATAATAATTAAGGAAAATTGGTATTTAAAATTTCCAAAAAATAATAATCTATCTTTATTAGTACTTATTGGAGAGTCAATTATAATTTCATAATAGTAATTGAAACCAAACAATGGGTAAGTTAATCAGACATACCTACAATCATGGCGAAGGTTGCGAACTAAAAGACTGGTTGGAAGATCTCTACTGCTACCGCCACCACGGCCACCACCACCACCATAGCGACCCCTTGGGCTAGGGCTCCTTCCTCGTCTGCCATAACCCCTCGGTGGTGACGGGCTGTAACTCCTTCCCCTCATTCAATCAGGAATACTTTGAACTCTGATCAATTTAGGAAAAATAATAAGAAGGTGCAGGAACAAACAAGAAAACAAATTCAACAAAAATAATAAAAGAATGCAACAAAATGTCAAGCTTTAAAAAGACATGTTCACTCTTTTCCACGAGTATAAAGTGTTAGTTATATCGCTAAGCCGTCCACTAAAAATTAGAACTTCACATATCAAAGCCATCACATAAACATCAAAGACAATGGTAAACATGATAAGTCTCCAATGTTCACTAAAAGTCTAAAAGAATAAGAAACATTATTTGCAATTTCATTAGATTGCAGCACGATAAAAATTCTATCATGAAAGAAAGCCGTTCACTGTTTTCACCATCTTAATAACCACCCACCACCGGCAGACTGAAACCTTACATTCTTTAATTCATCTATCTGTCATACAGCTAAATGAACTTTTTTGTTCATTTAATAGTACAATTACCTGGTTACCTAAAACACCAATATCATTCACTAGCAACTATTTGCACAACCACAATCATCACACGGGCAGGCAACTACTACTAGTACTTCCTTAAAGCATTATTACACCTTACGCAAAATAAGTGTTTTGCACTTGCACCCCAAAAAGGGGAAGGCTATGATCATCTACTGGATTGTAATTTTGCTGGTTTTTTTTTATTATTATTATTTTTTAAAACATTGTAAAAATCAAGATATTGATACTAATAGATAAAATAGCTAAATATCATTACTTTCGATAACAAACAGATAAAATAATGTAAACTACGCAACAATCCAGTACAGCGGATAAACCAAAACTCAAAACAGTACAAAATACATGATTTAAAAATAAAAAATAAATAAATAAAAAGAAGAAGCTACTTCATTCAATGAAAAACCAGAAAATAAAAAGTATCTGGGAGATCTAGCAATGACATGAACTCAAGTTAAAGAAAAACTACTGAAACTTTCACAGATGCGTAGATTTATCATGAAATATAAAAATAAAAGATTAAATTAAAAACTTAATCTTTTATTTTTTGAAAAATCGAGAAAGAGTAGAAAGAGGATTAAGACACGAGAAATGAACGTTAACACGGTGGTCCGATCTACGGCTTGGAGTGTAAGAGAGGTTTGACAAATTGGATACTAGAGAGAAAGACTGACCAGATTGCGGTGGTGGCCTATCAGTGGTAGCTGATCGCCGTCAAGCTGCTCGCACAACAACGCGGAAACGAAGAGGAATTGTTTTGCCCTAGATCTTATTCCTCCCAAACAAAACATGTACTAATAAATATATAAAATATTAATCGAGCGGTCCGGTTCGATTGGACCGGCAATTATTTGACGGGTCACTGAGGTAAGATATGTGACCATCTAGGTTTGGGCCTGAACTAACCATGTGACGTGTTATATACTTTTATAACAAGAACTATTACACTGTGGTTACAACAGTAAAAATTTGCCCTTTTTCTTTCGGTAGAAATGATATAAGGAAATAAAGGATAATAAAAATGATAAGTCATCATTTCTTATTCACAAATTTTCATCCTCCAAAATATGAATGGAAGATAGAATAAAAAATAAGTGAGCCTAATATAGAAATTTTAAATTATTACGTCACATATATAAAGAATGAGTTCAATGATAAAAACAACTTAAAAATTTACCTTTTTTTTTACCATCAAATTAAATTGTTAAAATTTTTCATTCTTTTCCATTCAACCCATAGCCATGGCCCAAGGTGACTAAGACGGTCGCCTTGGGCCTCAAATAGAGGATGTCAAAAAAAAAAAAATTTAAGTTAGGACAAGTCTTGGTCGCCTTGGGCCTCAAAATTTTGAGGCCCACAGGGGATGGTAAAAAAACAGAGTTAGGGCAAGTTTCAGACGACACGATCTGCTTCCACACCCCGCAGGACGCAGCCTCCGCTATCGCCTCAGGTGACAAGGTACGTTCATCCTCTCTCTCTCTCTCTCTTCTCTCTCCTTTTGCGTGAATCGATCTTTTATATATGTTTCTTTCTTTCTTTCGTTCATTCATCATTTGATTTGTTCTAACTTTGGTTCGTTTGATTCGGGCCTTTACCTTTGTTCCAATACTGAAAAGTAGCTTCCAAACTAGGGGTTTTTTGTGTGTGTGTCACTGTGTGTGATGGCTATCAAAAGCTGAATGAATATATTATGGTTCTCTTAGTATTTTAATAAACGTGTGCCTTTCTACATGTGTCTTTCATGGCGATCGAGTCCATTATCCATGGCAGGTACTTTTTCTTTTTTTCCTCTCCCTAATTCCACTCCAATCTCACAACAGCAGCAACCATACCCCTTTTACTCATAATTTTTTGCGTTTTCACATTCAATCCCACGAAAATTAAGGATCCCTTCTAGTGGGTTGAGATAATAATTAACTTTTTCGATCTCTAAATTATGCTCATACTTAAAAGTGCCAAATTAAGGGTTTTTTTTATTTTTATTTTATTTTTATATGGAGATACATACCACCATTATTGATGTTATTTGAAGTTGGCTCAGCTAGAATTTCGGTTAATAATACTGGCAAAGCACTTACCAACAGAATGTACAAACACATGGAAATCAAGAGCAGGCTTTAACAAAGCAAAAGTTAATGGTTTTTTCTATTAATTTGCACAGGTCTTCTGTAGCAATGATCAATCAATCACTGCTACTAAAGTTGATTCCTCATCCTGAAATCAAGAAAGGGCTAATTGGCTCCCAAAAAAAACACACACAAAGTGTAGTTAATATAAAGAGTGAAAGACAAAACTATATATAATAGTGGATGCCACATATAACCTAAAAGTCCCAGTACTTCTTCAGCACTACAAATTCAGCCTCCTATATATGTGTATATATATAAACAATGAATGTAAAAAAGAAGCTGCAGTTTTCTGTTCCTCATTTCCACTTTTGGACTGTATTTTGGATATTCTGTTTTGTCTTCTCTCCTCTCCTCCAGATTCCAGTGAAAACTCCAGCCAGGAGATCATTTTAACCAAACTGCTTGATTTTAGATTTTATTTATTTATTATATTTATTGTATGATTGGCAATGCTTAGTTATTATTGTTTCTGTTTGATTCTCCATCCGTTTTATGTTAATTGTGATCTTCTTTCATAAGCTAGCAGGACACTTTTCTTAGGATCTCGTGAGGTTATTTGCCTTGAACCTGAATCAAATCATTGCATATTGAGGTAATATATATTTTCTTTAAACAAAGCTATTATTATTATTTTTTTAAAGTCCAGTTTTATGTTGATTATGGTTCCTGTTATTTAGATTTCAAGAGATTTCATTATGTCTTCATTTGAATCTGGGCATGAAAAAAAAAAAAAAAAGAAGAAGAAGAAGAAGAGAGAAGAAGAATTGATTCAATCTCAAAAAGGAGATAGTCTTAAGTTTTTAGGAGCTATACACAAATAGAGAGTTTAGTTGAAGATTTGGTGAATGAAGAACATATGAATGCGAAAGCAAATGAAGAAAATCTCAATAAACATGAAGATTTAATGAATGAAGATCATAGGAAGTTAGTCAATGAACATGAAGATTTAATGAATGAATATTATAGTTATTTGTTAGTTTTCTTATGCACAATGCACATGCGCGCAATTAACTTAGCTATAAAATTTGAAAACATCGTGTGAAAATTCCGCACTCTTATAATTTTTTTTTGCAAGTGTGAAACTTAAGGGCCTCACATTTGAAAGTTTGCCTAGGGCCTCTCAAAATATTTGGAATCTTAGGGCCGGCCTTGATCCAACCAAACAAAAAGAGGGAAAACTTTAATCTCTTCCCAAGGGATGTCTCAGTCATCCTGTATTCTCTCTCTTCCTTTAATTTTTTTCCTTCTTACCGAACAGAGCATAAAAGACAAGAAAGTACTACTATACCATAACTGTTGATAAATCACTCATTGTCAATTCAATTTTTTTCTTTTCCATGCTAGTTTTGAAACCTGAGTGTGTTTGGATAGATAGATAAGAAAAGAAAATAAAGGATACTATTAGGTAAGAGAGAAAAGAAAAGATAGTAATAATTTATATTCATATTTGGATAGATAAGGGAGAAAATAAAAGAAATGATAGTTATTATTATTTGGATAAGATATAGGAGAGAAAAGAAAAGAAAAGAAAAGAAAAGAAAGGATGATGACCAAATTATTGTCCTACCCTTTCATAACCACTTCACACATTATCCATTTATGAAATCTCACAGTTATCTTCGTTTTTGCAACTCTCAATAACCAACTGTTGCTAAAGCTTAGTTCAATGCAATGGTAAAAACAAAAGAAAAAAAGAAAAAGGAAAAAATAAAAATAATGGGTGAAAACAAAATTAGATAGGACTCATCCAGGGGGAAAAAAAATAGATTGGACTATTTTTAATAAAATAATTAGTTTACTCACTCCTATTAAATGAGACTGATCCCTAATTAATTTATAATAGACTGATGTCAAAACATATATAAAACTTTAAGATTTCGGTGTAAGAGCAGGCTTAAGCAAGAACAAAACAGGGATGCTGGGTCTCTCCTCGACCTTTCCTTTCAAGTGCAAGAAGCAGTTTTGCCACTTGAAGAGAGGAAACTCGCTTCCACTTCAAGGCAGCTCCCTTTGTTCAATTAATATGAAAAGGAAGACACTATTAGACCAAGCTACTTGACCAGGACATAAATGGAATAACTTTTCTGTTTATTGATTTGTGGAGCCACTATCCTTTCTCTCTTTATCTTTTCAAAATGGGAGAGAAACCAAATGAGAGATAGGGAGGCTATCCCTCACAATCTATCATTTCTTTTCTCTCAACTTAACCCACCCAAAACACACTCACAATCTATCATTTCTTTTCTCTCAACTTAACCCACCCAAACACACTCACAATTTATCATTTCTTTTCTCTCCTTATTCCTCCAAATCAATCCATCCAAACACACCCAACTGTGGTATGAAAATCAAGACCCAAATCCATTGAGCTAGACTCGTCTATTCAATTTCATAATTCACTTGCCTCAAGTCCAGTGACAACTAGTAGAGGCCACCATTGTCAATTCTCGCCGCTCTTAAGATTTGCAATTAAAAAAACAAATGATAGAGAATTAGGACCCTCTTCTTTTTTACATAAAAAATTATTTCAGATTATTATAAAAGACAGTTCTTTATTTTTATCTTTTTTAATTAAGTTTTCAAAACTAATTTTCAAAGTCGGTAAACCAAGGAGATTTTTGTACCATTTTTTAAAATTATTTTCGTTATTTTTTTCTTAGACATTAATGGGAGAAGAACAAACTTAAAGGAAATGGAGAGAGTTTGTATTTTTTTTTTTTTATTGTTTCTTTTTGTTAAAAAAGCGGATTAAACGTGTTTGGTAACTTTAATATTTATTTTTCTAAATTTTATGTTCACCTAAAAGCCCAATTTCAAAATAAATAAATTTTTTTTCAGGTATTTTTTAAATTTGTTCTTCTTGCTAAAAAAAGTAGATTAAACGTGTTTGGTAACTCTAATTTTTAATTTTCTAAATTTTATATTCACCTAAAAGCCCAATTTCAAAATAAATAATTCTTTTTTTCAGACACAAAATAAATAAATAAATAATGTTATTTTACCTGTTTAAAGATGTCCTACTATTTTGTCCACTCGCTAAATCCATTCTCTCTCCCCTCAACAGAAGCTCAAAGAGACCAACACAAATCGGCGGCGATTAGATCAGCGGACGACTACAGTTGCAAGGTAGGTTTGTTTATTTCTCACTCTCATTGAAAACTTGTTTATATGCCAAATCGAAATCCTAATTATTTGGATTCACTCTTGATTGAAACCCTAGAAATTAGCACGAATCGAAACCCTACAAATTGGCAAAAAAAAAAAAAAATGAGACACCCATTTTGTATAGAGTTATCTATTCGTGGATTGAGGCTCGAATTGAATCAAAACCCAACCAATGAATCATTTATGAGATTACAAAGGTAAAAGAAAAGTGCCAAGGTATGTGAACGGATGAGTCCATGGGTTGGCTTCTCATGCTATGAGGACTTTAAAGATTGTTGGTTGGATAAATAGGCATACTTTATAATGCTTCTTAATCGTATCAAATAAAATACTTTTGTTTGTTTGTTTGTGAGGGAAAAAAGAATTTACTATGATAGTAACTATACATTGTTATAAAGCATGAATTTATACATATTTCTGATGTGTGTATTCAATAGCAAACGAGCAACATTAAACATGTTCTCATGGGGCAAAAAAAAAATGCCAATGCCTAATTGGAAGGATATTAGGCTTCATTTTTGGATAAATGAGTGGATTCAGAATGAAGGAATTTAAATTTAAACAAGAGATTATTCAGTTAGTATATTTCCTAAATTTTAGAACACAATTGGCCGTTGAACCATTACCCTACTTGAAAAGATGGGATTTTTGCAAACAACAGATTTAGAACTCAGGCATTGTGTCCTGAATATTGCATGTTTTGAATTCCCATGGGGGTTTGCAGAGACTAAAATGATTTAAGAAGCAAGAATTGAAGTGGGATGTGGACCATGCATCTTTCTGTATTTAGTGGGAGGGATGGGCAATGCATGGCAAGCAAGCATTGAAGTGGGTTGTGGACAATGCATCTTTCTGTATTTGGTGGGAGGGATGGGCAATGCATGGTTCAATCAGTGCGGACAATGGATTTCCAGTGAAGTGGGTTGTGGACCATGCATCTTTTTGTACTTGGTGGGAGGGACGGGCAATGCATGGCTCAATCGGTTTCGACAATGGATTTCTAGTGAAGTGGGTTAAGGAACCGCACACATTCTGATATCTTAAGTTCGTATCAGCTCCCCATCTGCCTCACCTGACCAAACAAAACATTCTATTTAACCTATAACACAGAATAAATTCGGAAATCAGTATACATGCATAGAGTCATGTTATGGAGTCATCATTTATATCATGCTTCATTATTAATTATCTCTCTCTTTACTTGTGTAAATCATTGGCTTTTCAATTCTTAATTCTGGCATATTTATTTTCAACAAATCTATTGATCTAATGTTTGCATTACTTGGTACTTGGATTGAGTGAGTTCGGATTGAGGATCTAAAATACATATACATAGAATGCTTTAGAATCTGGATAATGTTTCTCTACAATTATTGTTTACTTATTTTCTGGTTTGTTGATTAATTCTGATATACAACTGGCCTTAAATTCTGTAGTCATGGAGGAACAGTTCATACTGAGAGTTCCACCTTCAGTTGCCGAGCGGATAGAACACCTTTTGAATGAGAATACTTCTTCTGAGGATAAGTCATTGGATTTGTCTTTCTCCGGTGAGAATATATGTTAAGAAATTTGAACTTCTTTAATATTAACATCAACAGATCTCACTTTTTAGTGTATTTGACATCCATATAAGATACAACTTACCGTGCTTTTTAGTGTATTTGACATCCATTCTGCCAAACATTGTTTTTATTATATATATCTCATTGTCTGTGAATATCACACATGTTGAGTCGTTGTGTGCAACTTAAGCAACCTGGTTTTTATTTATTTAGTTTTTATTTTTTTATGATCCTTTTATTTGGGAAAGGGTTTAAATCTTGAAATATCTATTGGTTTCAAAAGGCCATGTATTTTGCTGATCTCTATAAAGAAAAAAAATATTTAATTTTGTTTCCTCTTTCCCTCTATAAAAATTTCTAGTTTTTTTTGGATTTTATGTTTTCCTCTTGTTTTATCTAGTATTATAGCTTCTCATCAGAACACGCTGTTAGTTATACAAATTAATGAGATGAGAAGACAAGAAAAAAGGAATAGTATTGCTCTGAATTATGTGGCATTGGCTGAGGAGTTATTTTATACACTCTCCATATGAGAAGCTGAGCTACAGGAAGAAGCGTACAAAATTCAACACTGTGCTAGATCACTATAGGCCCAAGCAGGGACGGATCTAGGGATTAGTGTGAGGGGGGGCAAAACTGAATTTTTCTTGTAATTTCAAGAGGGAGGGGGGGCCGGGGGGAGGAGGGGTAATTGATATAAGAAAAAATTAGTGGTATATAATGGTATCTAAAAAAAAAATTCAGTTGGGGCAATTGCCCCCACTGACTATATATTGCCTTCCATCCCCAGGCCCAAGGGCAACTGGTGGTGCAGTTCATAACAAATTGTTAAAGAATTCAACACTGTGCTTGATCACTACAGCTCTGGAATCAAGAAATTGATGAAACACTATGGAAGCCCAACAACATGAGGAATGAGGATTATAAGCTCTGTAGATAACTTCATGGGCATGGTGCATGATGTTAATGCAATTTAGAGCATGCAAAGATCATGTGACTCTAATTGATGAAGAATTCAACTTCTAAGCTAGCGTTGAGCGACAGGTAGCACCATGCTTTTGAATAGATTCAGATTGAGAGAACTGAGAGCCTGATATATTATGAATAGTAATGCTATTAAGGGAGCGCTCTCTTGGGTAGATTGATGAGTTCTCCCTTTACAGTCGTTAGATTGGGTAAGTTTACAGATGCGTGCTAGGAGGAAAACGGATGTTACAGGAGTAAATGACGTTTCCTTGCTCTTAAAAAAAGGAAGGAAAAAAAAAAAAGAAAAAAAGAAAAAGAAACATAGACCCCAATAACACAATTTTTCTCTCCTCTTCGTCTTTTGGTCTCGCTTCTCCAAATCTCTCTGCAAGGATATGAAAAGAGAGTATGCACGACTCATCTTCGGAATATTGCACATTTTTTTTGTTCATGAATCATGATGGCAGGTTCCTCGCATGTGTTTTGCATGTTGTGTAAGGGCGGATTATATGGCATCAGATTTGAACTTGTGGAGGTCTGTGGATATTGATATCCTGTGATTGTTTTACTATGGTTGGTCTACTTTGGGTTTATCTGTTTTCTTTGAGGAATTGGTTTTATTTTATTTTATTTTATTTTATTTGTATTGGCCTGGGGTATACCCTTGTAAGATGTACATGTTGTTATGATTTCTATTCAAGTGCTTATTTACCAAAAGATATATATATATTATTCATTATTCATTCTATTCTTTTCTTTTTTTGGGTTTAATACAGTGACCTGGAGCTGATTGGAGCACATTTTGTAGGGTTTATAGTTTCACAGCGACCAAAAAGAAAAAAATAGTATCAGAAAAGTAAGAGGATTAAATGTTTGGACAAAAATAAAAATGTAAAAGGTTATTGAAAGAAAGGGATTACGAGGAACAATTGTGATTTTTTCTTTTTTCACACAGCAAGAAGAATTGTGATTAGAGAGAATGTTTAGTTTTGGGATTTACCAAAAACAACAATACACAGAAATTTCATGATCTTGGATTTTAGAAGAAGTTAAAGATATAGTGGTTCAGATATTTTGAGTTCTTCATTGATGATGTTATGGAGAGAGATTAATTTGGAGAGAGATGGGTTTCTTGGGAAAAGAGAGATAGAGAGAGAGAGTGAGAGACGGTTTTTTTGTTTTTTTTTTTCCTTTCAAGCGCAATGCTCACAGAATAGGAAATTAACATCCCCTTTTCATGGCTGTTTCCAATTTTCACTAATTTCTAAACTTTCCTAATCCAACGGTTGTGAAAGGAGAGCTCGTCAGTTTATCCAAGAGAGCGCCCCCTTAATAGTATTACTCTATTACGAAACATATTGAACAGTCCACAAGAGCAATCTCTGCATTGAAAGAACAAATTTAATCATTATATAAAGGTTATATTTTGCTTGCTGGCTCATAAGAGATTGAATTCTATTAAATTGTGAGAAGGGTTGGCAATCTTGTAATTAGACCGGGAAGCTAGGAAGGACGGATACGAGATACGGATATGACACGAAACGGGTACGGTAATGCGATAAATCTAAAAAAAAAGAGGATACGTAAAAATAAAATTTATTAATTTTTTATTGTTGTATCGTGCCATACCCGTATCCTCTTTTTTTTTAGATTTATCGCATTACCGTACCCGTTTCGTGTCATATCCGTATCTCGTATCTGTCCTTAAAAATATTAATTTTTGGTCAATTTTTAAAAAATATTATGAATCTATATGAAATCATTAATATAACTTAGAAGTTCGTTTCACAACGCATAAAACAAGCATCCTTAGTGACCTAGTTATCACTTAAAACTTTTCTTAACAATTATACTATGTTATTATTAACTATGAAAAACAAAAAATACTATGTTATTATTGTTGGAAAACTTGCATTTTAATGTGCAAACTTGTTAAAAATGTGTTATGAAGTGTTTGAGAAGTGTCTGATATGTGGTCGAAATACCTAAGAAGTATCAGATACGTGTTAAAAATTAAAAAAAATATATTTTAAATTTATGGATATATTTAAGAAGTATCGGACACGTATCCGCGAGTATCGGTATCCGACACATATCCGCGCTTCCTAGCCAGGAAGTAATAATTGGAAAATGCTTAAAATAACAATCTGCTGCATCACTTTTTCTTTGCTCAACGGCGAAAAAGATTTAAGGACTAGGAATAATGGGGAGATACTTTTATTGCTACACTAAGGTAGCCTGGAAGCGAATATGTTAAAGAATAGTAATTGCTAGAGTGGCAATATTGAGAAGGAAAATGCTTTATGATTGACAAATTGAGTAAATAAAGGTACACTTTTGAAAGGAGTGAGATGATACTGTGTTTTTACTTTGAATTTAAATGTGGAAATGATGAACACTTGGGTTTGTAAAGGATTGCGGTATGTTGTTTTTTAGTTTGTATTACTCTGTGAATAACAAAACGTGAGATAAAGTCAGAACATACTGATTTAATAGTTTCCCAACTTCCCTCTCTGTCTGTCTTGGTGCACTTATGAATTTAGAATTCTTATGCATTTCAGAGGATGGGAGGAATGGCACATTTGGCATAGGCAACGATCATTTTTCCGCGTCCCTCTTGGATCTCCCTTGCATTGTGGAATCATACAAAACTTATGATGATAATGTGCTGATCAAAACTGCAGACATTGGTCAAGTAGATTATGTCTTGACATTGTTTCTTTACTGTTAATCCATTGTTGCTATTTTTTAATGCAATGACACAAATTCATGGGGTTGTGACAGATGATTATGGTGAGAGAAGAGGGAGATACTGCTCCAGATGTGGTGGAATACAGGCATGGCCTCGCTCCTCCAATGAGGGATGCTCGAAGGCGAAGGTTTCGTAGGGAGCCTGATCTAAATGTATTAGTGTCCTCTTGATTTCCTCTCTATTTTATTAGTGTGTATTCCTTTTGTGAAAAGAAATAAATCTTTTGAGATGCTAAGAGGAATTTCATCTGTAACAATCTCTTACCTGATGTCATTTCACGACAAAGAAATTTGTGTTCTAATAGCGGTAAAAATTAAATAAGCTGCATTTGTAGCCAATAGTCATCACCTCACTTTTAGCGGGAAGTGACCTTGTTACCCATACTAGAGTTATCTAACTTTGTAATTACCGATTTGGATTAGAATGTAGCCGCACTATAGCTTGTTTTCCTCCTCCATCCATAATTTCTTTTTTTGTTCTTTTTAATTTCCTTATCTGGATTTTTTACTGATTGTGATTTTGTTACATTTCACAGCCTGAGCTCGTACGACGTGTTGAGAAGGATTTGCTGAACATCATGGCTGGTGGAACAGCTGAGAATGTTGATATCCTTTTTGCTGTATATTTTACTTAATTTTGTCAAGCAACACATACATACCTCTTCCTTTTAATTTTTTTCCTGAAAAGTACACACCTGCATGTCTAAACTGGGATTTGAACCCGGATCCTACTCCTGATGGGGGGTTGGTTGAAGATACTACTCAAACTAACTACTAACAGGCAAAAGAGTATATAAGCTATCTCGACCAGTGTTTCAGATTTAAACTGTGAAAGATTAATTTATTTTTCAATAGAGCATGCAATAATTCAATACTTTAGTTTTCTCAAGTGCTTTGGGTTATTAATTTGACTGTATTGTCTCGATTTATAACAATCACAAGTGTCAATTTTGATTAAAAAATAGAAACCTATGACTTTTTTAGACACTTTTTGTTTGGGTGAATGGTAAGCTTCGGGCTTATTTGGCTCAGTTTTTTAAAAACAGTTCTCAACAATAGAAAACTGTTTTGAGAAAACTATGAAAGACAATTCTGTGAGAATAGGAATTTCCTAATTGAGTTTTCAGACGGACAATCAATCAAGTTTCTGATTTCCAGTTCTCTGACTATTAGGAAACTGAACCAAACAGGCTCTTCATTTTCTTGGTCTGACATACTTTGTTCCAGGAAATTTTAAAAGTAGGCTAATAATCACGGGAGCTCTGTTTTTCAAGTTTTTGTTATTCCTTGACTGAGTTGTTCACATGTTGAAATGGCTGAGCAGGAGGAAGTTGGTGATGGGAATGCTCGTAATGCAAGTAAGAAACCTGCACCTACTCCTGCAGCAAAGCCTGATGTTCAGGATACTGGAACAAATGCCGGGGAGCCTGATGGAAGTGATTCAGATGATTCAGATGATTCAATATAAATAAAAAATTTTGATGTAGAAATATGTATATGTTGAACATAAGCTGTTATTTGTGATTTTCGCATTCGCCATTTAGATCTGGATGTAGTTTGCTATTATACAATATCTATTTCATTGCCGTCAGCTGAAAACCCGCCATTTCGATCTGGTTGTAGCATACTTTGCCATATTATTACTGTGTTGTGTAGCATTTTTCCATTTCTGTGTTGTTGGAAACCTCAAGTGATGTGATTTTTCGTCTTTAACAGCAAAGCTTGTATGACAATGATCAGTTAAGAATGACGGAAACTTATCCTTATCTTGAATCTGGTTTTGATATATGTTCTCAAGGTGGTGAGAACGTGATTTTTTTTCCCAAATAATTGCAGATAATCTTCCTTAAAACAAATGCCAATATTGTGGTAGTAAGCCTTAATTTTTGGAAGAAAAAAAAAAAAAAAAAAATCCATCTATACTATTTTTATTTTTTAATTTTTTTTTTGATAAGTAAATCTATACTATTATTTTAATAAATTAAAACTACAAAGACCGGGTTGATTCGGTTCTAAACCATGGTTTGTTTTGATAATATTGAGGGAACAATCTGTTTACTCTTTAAAAATATATATATAAACCCACTCCCAATCACATGGATGCCAAAAACAAAATAAAATACAACAATGATAAACCTTTCAACCACTAACAAAATAAAATACACTAGTTGTAAAAGCAATGATACATCATTCTAAAAAGAGCAAAGGATACATCATTCGAATTTGAAACTATTGAATAAAGAATTCCATCCCCCAAGTGTCACCATCCTCTACTACTTATAAGAGCAATGATACATCCTTCTGCAACTGATATGTTCATCCTTACCTTCATAATCAATCACGAGTACCTAAATTTGAAAGGTCCAATTTTTGTTGATATAGTTTTAACGACTGAGGAGCTTCGTCTTCGTAACAAGTCACAAACTTCTTGAGAAACAAACTCTGTGTGCAATTCAACATTGTCTCAGCATTAATGGGTTCCTTAACCAAACCTTTCGACAACAAAACTTGAAGTACCGAACACCTTGGAATTATCCTCTTACCCAAGCTGAATGACATTAATCTTGGACGACGGGCAATTAGGGAAGACTTCCAACCCATTGTGTTGACATAAAAATTCAGCACCGCCATTATCTTCTCCTCGGATACCATCATACACATCGGACGTTTTGAAAAAGCCAACAATGTTTCTTCCTCAGACCAACCCCACTTCTCATAAACCTCCATCTTCCGTTTCCATGTTGATTTGCTCATTGAGGTCAATGCCGTAATCGCTGTAACAAACTTGGCGTTTGAAGGGTTGAAACCCAATTTCTTAACATCCTCCACTACCTCATTAAATATATCAAGGTTTAGGTTGAGTGACCTAGACTGAGAAGTAAGCAAGCAGACAATTTTCGAAATCTGTCACGCCGTGTTGCCTCAAAAGTTCAATGTTACACAAAGTATTAGCACTGCTATAGCACTGTACAATACTAGGAAATCGTTTAAAGACGGTGATAAACTTATCATGTAAATCAAATAAATTAACGAACAAAGTGAAAGATGGAATGATATGGTTCGCCAAGCTTCGTGTCAATATAAGTGGGTAATTGGACACCATCTTCGCGAGCTCAGTGCTGGATATTCCGGTGGAGTAAAAGAAGTCGAATTTCGACAAAAGCTCTTTCTTGGGATCCCATAAGAGAAGTTGTGGGCGTTTTCTGATGACAGATGAGACCTGGGTTTTGCTGAATCCATGGTTGATGAAGAAGTTGAGAACTGAATCCGGTTTGTCTAGGGTTTTAAGATTGACCTTTTTGGAAGCTGAAATTGCGGTTTCTGGAGACAACCCACATGAATTGATGAGGTAATTGACTGTAAACGAGTGTGGATTTGTGGAAGTTGAGATGGATTTGAGTGATGAAGACAGTGGAGAATTGGTTTGTAGGGCATAAAATTTGTGGATTGTTGAATGTAAAACAGAAGAGCAATTCAAACGAACAACTATTTTACTGCATAAATAAATCATTGGAGAAGAAATGTGATTGTCAAATGTTAAAGAAGAACTCACCAGATCGTTACTTAATCATTCATGGGTCCTGTCGAACAGAATGACAGGTTTGTGAATGATGACTTCAGTTTCTATTTTAACCTAATAACAATTTGTAAAATGATTTTGGCTGGGCTTGACGTCTTTATGGACCAAACTGGACTCGTAGTTTAGGCCCACTGTCATTCATTTGGAATTGGGTGTACTTTATTCAGATGATCTAAGCTTCTGATAAGCCCAAGGCCTCGTTGTTGTTACAACTTTCAAACTTTATCTTGGGAACATGCATCCATATAGTCAAACAAGGATTAGATGGGCTTATTGTGGCTAGGAATAAACTTTTGAGAAGGACTAATTATGGGGCAATCTTAAAGTTTTTGAAAATCGACCCTGTAACATTAGGGTTTGTTGATAAGTGTTTAATTAATTTTTTTATTAAATAAATGTTCTTATCCTAATTTTCATGTTTTATAGGGGCTAATTTAGAAAAAAAAAAAAAAAAGGCAAAAATGTGAGAAATTATGGTTGCAAAAGGATAAAAGTTTATTTATTTCTAAAGAAGTATATTAAAAACCTTGCACGAGAAATGATCCAGTGTTCAATTGTTTTGTTTTTATACACGCCTGAGGAAGATTTTATGTATTTTTTATTTTTGATTTTCCTCCTATATTTTAATTTTCAAATTCTTTTCTTTTTTCTTCATAATTCATCCCTTCTAAATTCTATAAATATGGTGCAGAGGAGGTGGAGGATTACAAAATAGAGAGAGTTAGAGATTTTATATTGCATTGCATTCTTTTTCCTTGTAATTCTTTCTTTTATTCAATGAAAAACATCTTTATTTCTTATTTTATTTTATTGTTAATATATTAGCTTAAACACCTCTTCTCAAGGGAAAGATGAAGCCACCATGGCTGACATGTAATTGAATTTCTTTCATATCATGTTTTAATTTTCATCTTTAGAACATGTCTTTCTTCTTCTATTCTGTGTGATTGTGTTCTTAGATTGATAAAATAATTAGAGGGAGGATTCTTCGTGTTTGTCAATTAATGGTAATTTAGAGAATGCTTACTTCTGATTACGAAAAGTATACCACATTAAATAATAAAAATGTTCTCTTGTACATAAATAAGTGTTGTTTAACTCTATATTTTCCTTCATCGTTTCACGTTGTAATTGGATTGATGAAGTGAATTGCTTATAAGAGGAAAACTGACAAGACCAAAAAAAAAAAAAAAAATTGTTTAGTACATATCTGCTCCCATATGCCTCATTCGGATTGGATGTTTGCCTGATAAACACACATGCTTTGTTCATCAGGACTTAGCACTGAACCAAGCCTCGTCTTGTTGACTCATCTTGTTGACCATACCATGGTCTGTTGGGACATGGCGCTGAACTATGCCAACGTCTAGGCCATGGTACTGAGCCACGTCCACACTGTGTAAATGCGCACCATGAGTTTAGGAGAACGTGATGCCAAACAATCCTACGATTAAACACGTCTTACTCTGATTCCTTGCCCAAGGGCAAGTTAGCACACATAAGGGCCCATAGGTGTACGGCGTGCTAAGCCATGCACACGACTGGGGATGCTCGCACGTGTGCTTTGAGAGTGTCACGTGCGTGCGCTGGTCCACCCTTAAATGTCTAGATGCTACCATCTCGTGCTACCAACTTGGGGTAGTGCAACCTATGCGCCTGAGCAAGTTGGCAAAACACCCTATGCCTATTTCATGCAAGGCATGTCATAACCTAGCTGAATAACATAGTTGCTGAGGAGTGTCTTCAACTACCACACTCACTAGCTTAGTTAGAGTAGATATTAGAACTCTGACAGGAACATATATCACCTATATCCGATAAGGTATAATGGCCATATTAGATTCTCTGGGCTTCCAAACTGAATTCCGTTCTCACCAACAGTCTTCTAAAGTCTTAGAATATCTTCCCATTAAATTCTCGAGTCCAAACTCCAACCTTCATTTTTCAACATAATTACAAAAATGCCACTGAGCAGCCTCAGTGCGCGCTGAACACCCTTTGTGCATGCTGACAGCCCACCTGAGCACCCTCATGATTGTCAAGGATCTCACTAACCTCTATTTAGCAAAACCCTATGTTTCCAGTAAGAGCCAAAGTGATCTCAAGACATGGCATGACCCTTGATGTCTATGTCTTCCCTTGGATATATGTTAAGGGGCTAACACTTATCTTATACTATTTTTATTAAGTATTTGTAGGTTATTCTTTATTTTTGCACGAAGTATAGAAGAACCAACAACATAAAAATCCACAAATTTGGGTGTGTGTATAAATATATTTATTACACTAAGGAAGTTTTTGGCCATCTTTTCTTAATTTTGATTTTCTAATTGTTTTTTGGAATTATTTGTTAATCTCCATTGATGTTTTCGTAATCCTTCTTCATACTACAAGTACTAAACAAATATAATTATGAAAAACATAGCTTGCTTTGCTTATAATAAATTAATTCAACCACTAAACATGTTTATGTTTTGTTTCATTTAAGTATTGCTGTCACATCTTTTATGATCCTTTCTATATATACACACATGACTTTGTTCCGCATTAGATTTGGATGGGGTTGAAGTGTGCATAAATAAGTGGGTATGCAGCACTACCTACCAATTTAAGTTTTTGAAAAAATAGACAAGCGCTCACCCGTTACACTGTGTGTGTTTGTAGTATGGTGTATACTTATAATATATCAAACAACCACTCATTTGTGTAATTTTTATTGTTTCAAGATCTTATCCAACTGCCCCTATGCTACAACAATAATTAATGTCTCAATGTTGCATGCAAGAGTGTTTATATATATATATATATATATATATATATATATAACATGCATACAAGTTGTACACTTGTACTTACATTACACATACATATGAATTGTGAGTCAATGAAAGTACTATACCGTTAATTGCTTATACAAGAAAAAACACAACTTGTGATTTGTGTTAAGTATATATTACCACTATTTAGCTTTGCTTAGTTGGGACCAGGATCACTTCCAGTCCAACAGTAGCCCATTTCCTCCTTTTTTTGTTAATGAACAGTAGTTACTAAGGTGGGTAAAAATGTTTATTTATTTTATACACAATTGCCATATATATATATATATATATATATGTGTATACACTATTCACAAATACTATTTCTTCTTCCCTCCCTTATTTTCAGCAACCCAAATCCCGCCACTTTCTTCTCTCCCAAAATATTGATTTTGATTTCTTTCCAAAATCCCGCGCCATTTCAACAACTCAGATTTTGATTTCTTTCCAAAATATTATTTGTTGTGAGTCTTTTGTTAATTTTTACAAAAAATATCAATCAACCCAAATCCCGCCAGTTGCTTAGACTTGCCCAAAGGTTTCAGAGAGAGAAAATTAAAGAGAGAAAGAAATCGTTTTTTACTTATTTTTTTCTTCTTCTTCTTTCAAATCTCAATAATTCTCTTTAATTTGTTCCCAAAACGAATCACAAATAAATCACACATCTATTTCTTAATTCCTTTGTTTCCATAAATTTCTCAGATCTATTTCTCCATTCATTTGTTTCCATAAATTTTTACTTCTTTTTATTTGTATACTAAGTCATTTTATTCCAAATTAACATAGCAATATTGGAACAGAGCAACATCTGGACTGGCATGGTTTTTTTTGTTTAATTATTTGTGTACTGCATAACATCCCAAACAGTTTGTAATTTAAGTCAATATAAATTGTACGCAACATCCTAACATAATCCTAATAGATTATTTGTACATAACATCCCAATAGTTTATAATTTAAGTCAGTATAAGTTGTACGTAACATTCCAGCATAATCCTACTTAGCATCCCAAGCAATACGTACATAACATCCCAACAGTTTGTAATTTAAGTTAGTATAAGTTGTACGTAACATCCCAACATAATCTTACGTAACATCCCAAGCAATACGTATTTTGTATCCCAAATAGTACTAACTATATTTCATGCTTATGTTATACGTAAAATCCCAACAAAATTCTACTAAAAAGAATGCGAACCAGTGATATTTGTGCTCTTTAATCAGATAAGAAAAAACAGACCAAAAATCGAGATTTACATGAACAAAGCTTAGATCTATGGATGATACTTTAGAGTTTCTGCATAATACTACAGTGAAATTACATGGGTTTTAGGAGTGTGCTTGGGTTTTGAAGTGAAGCTTTGAAGTTCAAAAGTTACTGTAAGTCCTTGGAGAGTCCATTAATGGAAGCTGATAAAGCTTTTAAAGAGAAAAAAAAAGAAGACGACATATTTTGGAAGAAAACATGCGTATTTTGGATACAATATTTAAACGTGTTTATATATATGGAATGCAATATTTAAAGCTTTTATATATGAAATACAAGGGTGGTGAGTTACTCAAGATTTTTAATTGATGTAGCCAATTCTCCTCCACTTATACCAAAATGGTGGAAATGGCCTACTATTTCATTAAAGGTAATTTTCACCCAGCTTGGTTGACCTTTTCCATTTACCATTTATAGTCAAAACATAATTATTATATATAGTCTCATCAACATCAAGTGTTGACTCTTGTTTGGTATTTCCATCTAAATTTCAGATACACCTACTACTTGTCATTGAAATGGATGATGGAACTTGCTTTGCACGGTTGTGGGGTTTCTTGCAGCCATGAGGAACTTGCATATAGATATGTGAAACATTGAATGATTTTTGAACTTCTGAAAAACTCACCCTTTCATGATTTTTACTTATAGTACCATTGCAGTGCTACTATTTTAGGGTTACTAATGGATCAGTGATCCGGCAGTATCAAACTCGTACTTTTCAGAGGAAGGTCTGGGTTTGAACTTCAGTGGAGATGGTTTGTGTAAGTTAATTGCTTTACCTTCCAAAAAAAAAGATTATTTTAGGATTAAATATATAAGACTTCTTTCAAAGTGAGTGATCCTGTGTTACTCTAATGAGGGTTGCAACTTGGACTGAGTGTATTATCTCGATTTATAACAATCACAACTCACAAGTATGTCAATTTTGATTGAAAATAGAAACCTATGACTTTTTTAGACACTTTCTGTTTGGGTGAAACTTCGGGCTTATTTGATTCAGTTTTATGAAAACAGTTCTCAACGATAGAAAACTGTTTTGAGATAAGTATGAAAGACAATACTGTAAGAATAGGCATTCCTTAATTGAGTTTTCAAGGGGACAATTAATCAAGTTTTAGATTTCCACTTCTCCTATTGGGAAACTGAACCAAATAGGCTCTTCATTTTCTTGGTGTGACATACTTTGTTCTATGAAATTTTAAAAGTAGGCTAATAATCACGGGAGCTCTGTTTTTCAAGTTTTTGTTATTCCCTTACCGAGTTGTTCACATGTCGAAATGGCTGAGTTGTTCGCCATTTAGATCTGGTTGTAGTTCACTATTATACAATATCTATTTCATTGCAGTCAGCTGGATTTTTACAGGATTGTGTACTACATTAGCATACTTTGCCTTGGTATTTTTTTTATTTTATTTTTTTCTGAAAATTAATAAATATGGATCCATATTATTTGGGATAATATTACTTACCTCCCTTCAGGTTAAGCCTAATAACACATAATATCCTTAACGTTTCAAAAATTACAATAACCTTCGTCAAGGTTAGCTCCGACATAACAACTTGCCCCTTTTAATAATAGTCAACTCCGGTCAATGGCCTTTTCTGCTAATGTCATCCCTTCTTAAGTATTAAACACCATATATAGCCTTTAAAAAATTGTAAATACATTTACACCCCAATTTTTAAATTGAAATTTACTACTAGAAAAGAAATTGCACTCCAAAACCTCATAACCTCATGCTTTGTGAACGTGGTTAACTCTTCTATGTGTGTGTACATAATATACTGCTCACTCTATATATATACTAGTCATACTAACCGTCCCTTTCTCTCTTGATCTATATGCACACATATATACACATAACAGAGATAAAATAAAAAATAAAAATACACACAACAGGAAGAAGGGAAATTAGGGAAAATCAAACTGGAGATGAGGTCATTCAATTGCATAGGTCCAATTGAATGACAATAGGTAAAACACCAACAAAATTGGAATTAAATTCTCTGTTTTAAACACAAGCATAGGATTTTCAACGAGGTTTCTGATCGTAGAGTTGTCTCCGAACAACATGGCTCTGTCGAACCTCGCTAGACACCAGATCCGGGCAGTGGCGAGCTTAGGGTAGAGAAGGGGCGTATGATCGGCATCTATGTTGCGGCGGCAACGATGGTGATGGCAACCATGGCTGTTGCGGTGTGGTGAAAATGGTAGCAGTGTTGTGGCGGCGGTGGTGAAGATGGTGGCAGGCGGTGATGGTAGCTATGGCCGCGGTGGTGGTGGAGATGGTGGTTGTGGTTATGGCTATGACCGCCTCAGTGGCCGGTGGTGAAGATGGTGGTTTATACAACAATGGGAGCAATAATAAACTATGAAGCACGGATACGGATACGGGACACAGATACGACACGACACGGATACGGCGACACTGCAAATTTCAAAAAAATAGGACACGGACACGGCGGGGATACGTCTATAAAATTATATAAATAGATATAGAGATATATAATTATATATTCAAAATATAATTACTAGAATCTTATAAAGATAAATAAAACAATAACAAATAACAGAATCAATTTCAATAATTTCATCTCTGTTATAAGAAAAATATAGATAAGATAAAACAGAAAATAAATGAAAAATAAAGTTGATCCAAATTCCAAACGAACATGTGCAGAAGAGACATAACTATAATGAACTAAATATGTATATGAATAAACATATATATTTTCAGTCTTTCACAAAGTTTTGTTCATGTAACTTAAATATATATATATATATATATATATATATATATATATATATATATATATATCTTGTTCATGAAAAAAGATAATTGAAGAAGAGGAGAGACTGCGAGGAGTGAGAGAAAATAAATTTTGTCTCACAGAAGTGTCGGACCGTGTGTCCGAGCCTCAGACACGCGTGTCCAATAAAAAATAATATTTGGACACTTTACAGAAGTGTCGGACACGTGTCTGAGCCTCGGACACGGGTGTCGGTGTCCGAAAAGTATCCGACATGGGTACGAGGCCCCTGGGATGGGCGTCCGTGCTTCATAGATAATAAACCTTTCAACCAAAAAATAAACTACTTATTAGTAAAATGTATATTCGAATTCGAAGATGCTGACTAAAGATATGCGAGTGGGGATATGGACACCAACCACAGACATTTACAATTGATATGTTCCACTCACACAACAGCCTTCCATTACTTATAAGAGCAAGGACTGATATGTTCCTCGTAACAGGTCCAATTTTTGTTGATATAAAAAAATTTGTTAGGAGGGGGCATCATTGGAATTTTTTTATAATTTAAGTGGGCGCATCTTCAATATTTTATAAAATTTATGGGTAAATTAAAAAAAAAAATCAGTAATAGGATCATTTCATAGTGTGAAGGTATGTGCAGTCTGTGCTGGTAACAGTTTTTAACCTTTTTGTTTATTATTTTTTTCAGATGCAATTGTTATTTGGGCTTCCCAATTTTGTAGGCCTTTGGGCCATTAAAGCTTCTGCTAGGCCCAAGGCCTGGCGTTAAAGCTTATTGCGCAAAATATACACACATGATTTGGGCAAGTGATAGGTTGATTACACCGTCTCATGTTATTAGTTAATTATTCCAATGATGTTTCCATAATCTTTCATGCTATAAGTACTAAACAAACATAATTATGAAAAACATAGCTTGCTTTGCTTATAATAAATTAATTCAATCACTAAACATGTTTACGTTTGTTTTTATTTAAACAGGGCCGATTATGAGATTCTCAAAAGTTTGAGAGGCCTTAGGCAAATTTTCTAGTGCGAGATCCTTTATAAGATTTCTAAGAGTACGAAATTTTCAAAGACCATATCATATCAATATCATAAAACATATTTTAGGAAATCTTACAAGGTCATTTTGAAAAATGTGACAGTTAATTGCACCCATAAGTTAAAATAGGGTTTATTGTTTCTAACGTATATATATATCATACTAAAATCAAAGACATGTAATTATATAAATAGTATTACATAATTTATATTTCTACGTTGTGAAATTTCGGATTCGTAAGAGGTACCTGGTTTCAGAGGATAGGAGGAATGGCACATTTGTGATAGGCAACGATCATATTTCCGCCTCCCTCTTGGATTGTGGAATCATATAAAACTTATAATGATAATGTGCTGATCAAAACTGCAGACATTGGTCAACTAGCTTATGTCTCGACATTATTTCCGTACTGTTAAGTACGTTGTTGCTACATTTTAATGCAATTACACTGAAAGTACAAAGAATTTTCCCTAATTTCAGAGAGAGAAATTTTTCACTCCCAATCTTTTTTTTAACCTCTTTTCCCTCTCGATCTCCCTTATTTATAGACCGTTACAACCTCCTCTGGCCTGGGCCTTATCTGCTCCCTTTTGCCTGGACTCAACTTCTCTCATATTAACATGGGCTTCAGCAATAACTTTATGGATCTGGGCCCATCCAGCGTGAACTTGCTCCATCCTGTCTATCCATACCCGACCCGTCCTTTGCAATACGGATCATACCAAGCCCGGGTCATTTTGGTGTCCTCATCTGCCCCCAATAATCTCTCCCCTCATTAATAAGGGTGAGATTATTGAAAAGACACGATCTTGGTCTAACGGCTCGGAGCAATGACACGAGGAATCGAACGGCTGGCAAAAAAACCTAAGCTTCGAGATCTGCAGCGCCACTTTTTGCCTTGACCTTTTGAGTTCCATGTCGCCTTTACTTTTCCTCTTTAAAAACTCCGGTCTTTCAACCTTCACCCTTCTTCTTATATCTCGTTTCTACTCTCCGCTGCCTTTCTGCACATTCCGGCGATCCTTTTTCAATTTCTCCGGCGAGTTTTTCCTTTTCGATTTTTAGCTACTACGCCGTTGCTGCGTTCATCACAAACTTTCAAGGTCAGTTTTTTTTTTTTAAATCTTTCTTAAAAAAAAACCTTTACTGCCTAGGACTCTTCCCCTTCTCCATGGCTCCCCTTAATCTGAACGCCATTCGATCCAAGAATTGCATTCCTCGCGATGTTTCCCTCAGAGTCTATCCAATAAACTTAGACGGGAGATCTGGTGAGGGTCTCCTTCCTGGGGAAGTTTTATTCTCCGCCGTTCACTTGAATGTCATTAGGTTCCCCCTACACCCATTCTTTTGTTATGCTTTCAACAAATTGGGGCTCTGCCCCCTGCAAGTTAACCCTAATTTTCTTAGGGTAATTTCAGTCCTCCTGCTCTTGAATCGTGACAGGGGTCTCAATCTCGACATTATTGACCTTCTCCTATGCTATCGGATTAATAAGATTTTACAAAATGATTTGTACTATCACTTCTTCCCTATTGACAAACGGTCGATCTGCACTGATAAGAACTCATTTGAAAAAGTTTAGAGACGAAATTTAATTGTGGTTAGTGGGAATTGGCAGACTCCGCTTGGCCAATCCTTCTCTATCCCTTCTTCCTTTGGAGCATGCTCTGTCTCTGGCTACAAAAAGCTGAAAACACATCCTACTGAATGCCACTGTGAAAGTTGTCTTCCCCGTTTTTGCACTTTTCTTTGTAGATGACTTCAAATTCCCCATGATGAACTGGTTTACAGTGTCTGCAGGGCTAGGCTAGACACCTTGCAAGAAAGTGTGCTGAACAATGTCCCTTCAGCTACTGATTTGCTTACATCTGACAATCTCTCTGACATCTCTCTTTTAGGGTCTACAATGGAGAACATTCAGATCCCATCTTTCAGCAGGAGGAGGCATCCTGCTCCCACCCCTTCTAACGCTCCTGTTATCACATCATCATCTACACCTGCTTCCACATCGTCTTCCCTTGCTGTCTCTGCCCCAGAGCAAGTTGTGATTGTTCCAACTGTGACTCAAGTCACAAACCGTTCTGCTGATGAGCCTTCTGAGCTCACTCATGCTGAGAACCCTATTGTGGGCCATACTGTTGAGATCCGTCCTGCTGCTCCCATTATTATACCTTCCAACATCTCGTCTGATACTTCCTCAGAGAGCATTCAAGATGCTGGAAATTCTCAAGACAATGGAGGGTCAGCTAATGCTGGTCTGTCAGAAAAAAGTTTAGGAAAAAGGCCAATGCCTGAGGGCGGTCATGACCGGAGTGATATCCCACCAGCCCGGAAGATCAGGATGGCTTCCTTCAGGGTTACTGAACCATTGCCCCCTGCCCAGTTCTTCATTCCAGAAGGTGAATCGGCCAGAACCTCTTGTCCGACTCCATCCGTTCTTCCATGGCAACGTTTGTTCAGTCGTGAAGATGGATCGACCATTAGCTCCACTGACTCAATATAAAAGGACCCCCTCACCTCCTTTGCTTTCTACAAGGGTTTCTGGACCCCCAAAGACCTTGAGATTCAGAACAAGTTATCCTTTGGTGAGATGTTTCAGCGGTTCCCAGCTGCTGCTATGGAGGTGACTCTTCTTTTTATTGAAATGCGTTTCTTTTCTGCTATAACTCCTTAGTAGCTGGTCTGACCTGAATTTCCTTTTCTTCATGCAGACTTTATTCGGGATGTTCAC